GGGCGCTGCTCCCGCCCGGCGCCGGGGGTGGCAGCGACGAGGCTGCCGCGAGGCGCCCGCGACGCCGCGCGACATGTTCGCCCTGTGGAAGGTCGCGCTCTCCGAGACCCTGCTGGGTAGGTGGCGGCGGGGAGGGGCGCGCGGGCGGCCGTKGCGCGGCGGGGCGGCCGTTAACGGCACCCGCGCTGCCGGGGCTGCCGCTGCTCCCCTGGCGCGCGAGCTTCCCCTTGCCCGTGCTGCGGCTCGCGGCGCTTTAAAATAAACTCCTGATTGGTAACGGTCGCTGGTTGGTGTTCTACTTGCCTTTTACTACACTGCCTTTTTTTTTTTTTTTTTTTTTTTTTTTTTTTTTTTTTTAATTTCTGTGGGCCGGAATGCCTTTTGGCCGTTTGACGCCTCTAGGATTTATTGCGTGCCTTCGCTCTGCGCTCTCACTTGTAGAACCGGTCCCCGAGGTGCCCTGCCGCCTCGCACACCGTGGTGCGAGGCCAAGGGGGTCACCAGGCCTCCTGCCGGTGGGGTCATGGGTCCCTGGCGTCTCCCACAGTGCGAGTATGAAACAGCAGCACGAGCATGAAACAGTAGAGCGAGGAACGTGGCTTTGGGGCACCAGGGTTCATCCTTGCGGACCRAACAGGTAGATCCTTGTGGCAGGAACGTCCAGTGCACTAAAGCAACTTTCCTTGCCATGGATTTGCCTCCAGGGAGCCCTGAGGCTGTGACCGCGTCGCTCGCTTACCCAGTGTTGTCCCCTCCGAGCACTGTCCCTCTCCAGGACTAGGCAGGTTTTCCTGAAGATCAACTTGCGGAGCTGGAGAAGAGCTYACTGCTTCTCATCATTCTGTCTTTTGTGAAAAATGTACTGAAGAATATTTCTTCATGGAAAACTACCATTGTTGCCCAATTTACTTTCAAATATATTTAATAGACCAAATTTTGAAATATACATATATATAAACACACACACTTTTGTCTGCAGGAAACCATGTAGAAGATATATGATATTTCTTTATATTTTTAGGCTATATTTCTTGGTCTCTTTACCATGCCCTGCCACCGATGATCTATTACTTCCCCCTTCAGACACTGGCACTCACCGGTTTAGAGATTTCTGCTGTTGCGTTCCTTTCGCCAGTGTTCTTGGTAATTGGTCCTTTTTGGAAGCTGGCTAGCAACAAGTATATCCTAGCCCTTCTGAGGCTGACTACAGTTGGTAAGTAAGCATCTGCTGTAGAGTTCCTTAAATTCCATCTTCATTGTCTGGACATAAGCATAAACATTCTAAATTGTCTTAAAAATCTAATGATTCTGATAAAATTAGAAGCTGGTAAAATCATTTATGGGGTAAAAGCTCTTTCCTCCCTCACAAATTCAGGCTTGTCTTAAGCTTTTAGGTACAAGCAAAGGAATATTTCTTGAATTCATGATGTTGGGTTTTAGAATAGTACTGCATAATGAAAGAGTTATTTCACTTCAGTTTTATTTCTAGAAGCTTTTAAATTAGGACAAATCATGCCCAATAGAAAAAGAAATCAACAGAGCAAGTGTTTTGTTGCTTTTGCTGTTTGCTTGCTTGTTTTTTGTTTTACACTAGCTTTCTGTCTCTCACAATGGCTTGGGACCACATATTACAGAACAGTCGAGCTATTGTAAAAGTAACCTGTCCTTGTTTTACTTTCTGATTTACTTTCTAAGCACTGATATACTTTGTTGTTGCTGAATATATTTGTATGCCTGTAGCATATTTGATGGAGTTACAGGCTCACCATGAATATGAGATGAGTTTCATATTCTGCCTGTTCTACGGGAAGGCAGATTGATTTTTAAATTCAAGATAAAACTTCCTTTATCCTACGTGATTCTCCCCAAACCAAGACTCTAGTGCTTCCTCTCTCATTTTCCTTCTACAAATGCTTCCCTACATGTTTTGTGCCTTCCAACTCTATTTTATCTGGTCTTGCCTCTTGGGTCTTCAGCTAACTGAGTAGGACTTGGCTCCTGTTGATTTTCTGCAAGTTTGATGGGATGTTTGGCAGCTACAGCCTGGCTTGGAAGTGAATTACTTACTGAGAAGATGAAAGAGTCTCCATCCTGCTTGTAGTGCTTGCTCTGCTAAATAAAGAGTAGCGACAGACCTACAGTGCTGCATAGGAATTGCTTGTTTATGTCTGTCTTCTTATATGCATCACAAGCTCCTGAAGAGATTAATTGAAAAAAAAAAAAAAAAGAAAACAAAACCAAAAAAAACCAGCCCTAGCATTTCCCATAGGCATCTGGGGTGTGTTAACAGAGGTGGTAATAGGCGGGTGGTCTCTAGCTACATGGCAAGAGAAAGTGGAGATCCTTATTTCCACCCTCGCTCTAGGTTTGCTCCGTGGAGCTGTGATGTTCCCTTTCTCCCTGCCTTCGGCATCTCTGATGCTCACAGCAGTCATGTCTCCCTGAGATATCGTCAGCCCCTTGTCCTAGCCCTACTGTTCATTCTGCTCTCCTTGCTGTTGTTCTGTGGTGAACTTCATTATTTGGGGAAGATGTAAGAGCATCTTCCTAAGCCTCTTTGTTCCTAGCAAAGAACTTACCACCAGTGGTAACGGTCAGCCTTCATTTGCCTCCCTACTCTCTGTCCTTATCTGCTTTAAGTGGTCCAGATGTCCTTGCACAAGCAGTGATGGAGGGTTGGTCTTCCTGATTTATCTCTTTTCATCATTCTGCCCTGTCACTTATGTTCTTCCTGTCCTGTCTTACTGTGCTTCTTGTCCTCTTTTTTCTCAACCCTCTCTACTTTCTCTGTTCATGGAGGCTTCTTGCCTTCTCCTTGTTTTGATCTTCTCTTTTCAGAAAGGCAATGGCCATTCTCTCAGACTTTTTGAACAATGTCAGGCAGAACAATCTACACAACACATACCCCACCCCCTTCCACTGGAAATCTTCAACCTTTGATTTCACAATAAAAAAAAAAAGAAAAAAAAAAAGAAAAAAAAAAGGAAATTCTTCATGCTCGACTAAAAGCAGATTGCCTAGGGATTTGGAGATTATTTTGTTGGATAGAAATTTCACTTTTTTCCTGTTTTTTTTTTCCAAAGGAAGCTTTATTTTTTCTGAAGCTTTTGTTTTGATTTCTGTATGCTTCCATGCTCTTCAACTTTGTCATAAAAAAACCAAAATCTCCTATTATTTGTATCTATGTCTCCAGACAACACACAGGGAATATTTGCATGTTTGGATAGATATATTTACATTTTGGGTGTGCTACCTCAGCAGAAGGTGTGTCTGTAATATAAGTAGGTAAATCCATGCCAGATTTAATTTGGCTAGTGCAGGTGCAGAAGGATTTGATGAGGCAGAGCTGGGCATTTCAGCACAAGTTGACAACTGAAATTTGTGCACGTTAAACAACCWGTGGTGAAGTCCATACAAGTCACTAGAGTTAGTGACTTAAACCACTCTTGATTTCTCTCTGCCTCCCTGCTGTAGGCAGGAGGAGCAAATAAGACAGTTGGAGAATTCCTGGCATGTGTTGCCAAAAACCATGAGTCAGTGGCTCCATATCTATCACTCTTTGCTTAAAGACCCTTCAAGTTGACTCAGTTTCATTTACCAAACATTGAACAGCAAAAGATATTTCATCTCCTGCTGCTTCCATGCTATTCCTGCTCCAACTCTGAAGTTATATAAACATGTGTGGCCCTTAGGCAGTTGATAACTTGGTAGCTGTTTAACAGCTGCTGAAGGTGAGTTCACTGTGTCTTGGGAGATGACAGAGCTGCACCCAACAGTCTCCTCTGTTGGCCTGGGGAGTTACAGTCTCTAACAGGGAGGTGAAATAGGCTCCACTCTGCTAGTGGATACTGAGTCAGAGAAAGCCTTCTCACCCAGTAAAGTCAGTTGCCTATTAAACTTGGTGCAATATGTGCTGAGTGTTCTTCCCAGAGAGGATAAACTTCAAGTTTTATAGCTTTTGAGTTATATTAGTCCACTGCTCAGAGGCATGATATGCTTAGATATATTATCCATATGTCTAGTTATGGGATCACTTACCACTACTGTCTAAACTGAGGCAATAACTGGAGTCTTGGATAATCTTTTTATGATTTTTTTTTCCACTGATGGTAACTGCTATAATGTGAGTGATGTATAGCCATTTGTGATCCTTGCCTACATGTCTTTGGTTTGTTTTAAGATATGTAGTGTTTTCAGATGAATGTGTGGCCATTCATATTGCAGAGAAAAAAACCCACTAATTCACAGGAAATCCTTATTACCTGATCTCTATTGCCCATTAAAGCAAAATGTATGTGTTTGTTTGTAGGAAGCTTAGCATCATATCAAGCACCAAGTGCTTCAGCTAGACTATTCATCTTGGCTGCAGGTGTTTCTTCCTCATTGCTGGTTCAGACAGTAACATGGTGGTCAGGAAACAGTTTACAAAGGTATTTTTTATATTGATGGGGTTGTGAATGATTTCTTTTTATTGTATTTTATTTTAAGTAATAAAGATTTTTTTCTTCTTAAACGTGCCAGTGCTTGAAATTTGATTCTTACAGGTTCATCAGGATATGGGGCTTCATTCTAGGCAAGATAATGCTACTTGTTCTTCGAATCTGGTATACATCTCTAAACCCAGTCTGGAGCTCACAAGCTGCCAACACTGTTGTGCTGACCCTTGGTTTTATAGCAACAGTGGAGCAAATTTATTCAGGTAAGTGTATCACTGTAAAGAAAGCTCAGCTTCATTGTTAGAACAACCTAAGTCTGTGTATGTGTCACTGATTTTGCTGCTGTTGTTTGCTTSTTTTGCATTCAGTCTAGTCTTAGACATACGTGATGCATGAGCCCAGCTGCAGACCTTGCAAACCATAGTATGCTTTCGTTTGCCAGTAGTGGCAGAGTCAGTGCTACAATTCATGGGAGCTGTAATGAGTTGGTGTTGGGACTGACGGCTCTTTTCAGTATCAATAACGCAGCAGTTAGACAAACAAAAGAATAACCTGACCTGTAAAACCAGAATGGGTTATGCTCTCCCCAGCATGCAACAGTCACGGCATCTCTGTTATTTTCTTAACTCTTTCAGTTTCACTGAAAGTTCTAGTTTGTCAGAGGAGAGCAGCAGGACGAAGCTGAGGAACAGCTAATGTGGGGAAATAACCAGGAAGAACTGGAGGAAGGGATAATATATCTGGTTGAAAATTTGCCTGAATTCTCAAGAGTCTGTGCACAGTAACACAACAGGGAGTTAAAACTGTGAAGGTAGCATTGCCAAGAAAACAGCCACTGTTGGGTTGGATAATTAAGGCAGCTCATGTTAAATCCTCAGAAGTGCCTTCTCACTATAACCTGAATTAATTATTCAAGTYATTTATCTTATTGAAAGATAAGATCTTATATAAGTGAGTATAATTGTAAGTGAATATAAATTGGCATTATATATTTTGTGTAGACTTGTGTGTTGCMTGACATAAAGTAAGTGAGACCTTTCATTGCAAATCAGGAAGGAAATGTACGGCAGCTATAGTGTTGCAGGGGAATGCTAATGACTAAATGAATGCTGATGACAAGACACCACAGCATCGACCAACAGATAGAGAAGCTATTTTCTGGAGGGCTTGGGAGTTGTTAAGAACTTTGTTGTTACTTCTTTTTGTATCCATACCTTGTAAAATCTGAGTCACAATAAAAAATTAAAATTATCGTGCTTTTTCTAGCACTCCAGGAACACTTCAGTCTGATATATTAAACGCTGGACATTGCGTTTTGTCCTGGAAGCTGAGATGTGCCACTGACATCTGTGGTGTGTCTCTAAGCACAYGCAGGAATCTGATCACTTTTATTTATAAACTTTGTTGTCTAATTTTGGGTGCCTGGATTTAAAATATCATCTTCAGGACTTTTATGTTCCAGTAATACTTAATGCTTCAGGAAACACTTATCAATAGTAGTAGGATTTTTTTTTTTTGTCATTAAGAATATATAATTATGTTGTTTGCATAGTAAAAAGCATGGTCTATTTCTTTTCTTTGGAGTACTATCAAGTATATAGTGTAGTATTATAATTGCAGACAAAATATTTGTCCTGTGTTTAGTTAYCTTCAACAACACAAACTTACCTTAATGAAAATATTATCATGAGTGTTCTTTCTGTTTTACAATACTTCTGAGTTGGCAGAACAATATGATCTATACAACTAAAGGCACTACTTTCTTCTCAGAGAAGGGAGGATCTGAAGTACATGGAAAAAAAGAGAAGAGAGAGAAGGGAGTTTATTTTTGGCTTCCTCTGTAGTGTCAGGTTTTGCTCTTATCAGAGGTTAGAGTTTCACAGAACAGAATCCGCTAAATAAATGCTAATAACTTTTCTGCTGATTTTCAAAGGCCATTTAATAGCTTAAGTTCATTCATTCATAATAGTAGGAATGATGATATGGTCAGGTTGCCATTTTTGCACACGTGAGGTGAGTGCCTTTTTCTGGCAGATCTAGTAACCTGTAGAGATTTTTCATGAAAGAAAATTTTCATTTTTCATTTTTATTGTGAAAGATCAGATAAGTTAGCTTTTGTGTCTGAGCCAGTAATTTATTCTGAATATGTTGTGTTTTGGTCTTTTTCTTAATARCTCTTTCTAATATGATTTGATGCTTTGATCAACTGTGTTCCTATTCTTGTTCTAGGTGGAGACAGGAAGAAACAAGAAACAAGTAATATAACCGGTAATGCAGTTAGAGGGACTGTTCCCCAGTTGAACTGGCTTTCTTCAGGATTTGCTTTTGGCAGCCTCATGTTCCTCACTGTGTGGATATTTGGGGAGGTCTCGCTGGTTTCTAGATGGGCAGTGAGTGGGCATCCACATACCGGTCCAGAGCCTAATCCGTATGGGTAAGTGTGGCTAGTGGGCTAGTTCTTATTATTTGAACAAAATAGTAAATGCCATATTGGGTGGCACAAATTAAAAYTAAACAAAGATCAAGACCTTCACTTATTTTTTTCCAGGGAGAGAGGGCAAATATGTCATTTAACCTAATGTAATACTGAAAGGAGCTCAGTTAGTGGATGGGAATAGTATGAGAACCACTGTAAAATAAAGTGGGTACAAAAGTAAAATAAAGGTACTTTATATACAAAGCATATGAATAGTGTCCAAAGTGTCTGAGAAGTATTTGCTCAGTCCTCCTCATTCATTCTGGATATCAGATACCTCTGAGCATTGCTTCTGTACCAATATACCTTAAGATTTACTAATCCACAATGATTTTTATTTAATTTCAACAGCAATAAAACTTGTATTGTCACATTGCAGAACTCTTCTAAATTAAGACCAAGGTTCAAGGACTTATGAATGAAGCAAAAGCTGTAATATACAGTAAATGAATCTAGGAGTTGACTTGAGTGGGAGTGTGGTAGGAAATCAGCTCACTTTGGAAATGTATATCAGAAAAAATAAATGGTTTGTTCTGTTGTGTAAATAGTTTTGGAGAGAATTTAGTCTTAATGTTATGCATTGCTCACCCAAGTTCCAAAATCTAGAAGGAAACTGGATCAGTTAATCTGATGGTCAGCTTGTTGTAGCTGCRGGTGACATAGTTAATAATTTGGGGTTAGTGCACACAAGACTCCTCCAGATTTGTCAGCAATGCTAGCCGCTCTGGTGTCCCCTTTGTGAAGAAAATATTTCTGTTTGGGGTAAATTCCTCCCTCTGACTTTATCTGAGTTTTTTGTTAAAATATTTCTGTGGAGTGCTTCTGCTGCCAAGCGTAGTTCATTTATACACAATGATAAAATGCAGTTTATTTCAACTGGATAGTTTTGATTTGATTACAAAGGGGAGAAAAAAGCAGTGCAATGTGAGGCGAAGATAGGCTGTGCTCAGGTGAGAAATACCTAAAACAAAAGAATTATAAAATGTTGTCAAGCATCTTTGCTTTTATGTCTAAAAGTTCTTCTGTGAATACTRGTTTTCTTTTCCCTTATTTTTTGTATTAGAGGTATAATTCTGTTGGGACTGGCTCATGGATTGATGCTTTCATTTTGGAGTTGGTCTTTTCTTACCAGTTTTGCCTGGTTTCTTATAGGTAGGTGCAAATCATGAACCAAAGCTTTGTTTCTATTGCCTTACTCCTTTATTTATGCCATTGGAGTCTATTCTACTTTTTCTCTGTGTCTGACTGTAGTATATGTGTGTCTGACCAGCTGACTAAGGCAGATGCAGAGAGCATTGCTYTCCTGAGAGCAGCTGAGACCTGTTGGGGCAGTGTATTTTTGACTACATTGAGTTTAGGATAATGGGTAAAGGAATCTGGGTCTGCTGGAGCTGGCATCTATTTTTGAAGTCATTTTCCTTAACCTTGAACACTAACACCTYAATACAGGCTAAGTTTGTGTGTGACAAAATAAAGATCTTGCAGGTGGTAAAATATGAATAGTTATCTTTAGTTGCCTTAGTTCTGTTCGTCATATGACTATCTAAAGGGATATGTCAGGAATATCTAAATATCTAGGTCAGGAAAAGGAGTATTTTCCCCTCACGTGAACCCATTTGGCTCTCTGCCTATTCTGTCAGAGCAGGTTCATAACAGGTTCTGTTAATTAGCTATAAATCCTTTACAAACAGTGTGTTCCATGTGTTGTGCTGGAGTAGCGTTATGTAGCTAAACCTGTTTAGATTTTGCATCTGGTGAAGCTTCTTTGCAGTTTTTGCCATACTACTGGAAAAACACTCTTTTAACAGAATGAGGTGTTGAGATAAGTGAGAGGCTATCTTTGGCTATAGGGACAAAACATCCATACAGTGCAGCTGTTCTCATGACTGCAGGCCACASTCACATTTTCCAGTCCTTTTCTTTTTTCTTTTCCCAGGGAGACTGTGAATAACAAGAAGGTAGATATATAGCAGACTGTAACTCAYTCCATTCTTTTCTGTCCCTTCACAGGTGTAACATCCTCGGCCGGTCTCCTTTATTTGCAGACCTGGAGTGCTGCTGTTGCGGGCAGCGTTCTTGCTGTCTTCACGATGAGCGTGTGGCCTCAGCTGGCCGGACGCTTTATCCATTGTCCACATCCCGGGAAAGCCATGACTACAGCCATGTTGGCCTACGTTCTTGAGTTATTCTTCTGTGTGTGGTGTACTGCTTATAAATTTGTACCCGGAGGAATTTATGCTAGAGAAAGATCCCACTTTCTTTTAGGTACATTTATGACCATGAACAGAGACAAATATGCGGGCTTTAGCTTCAGCCTGGTGTTTTAAATGAATCTAGTGCAAGTAGGCTTTCTAAGTGCTCAACTCCCGTTTGATTTGCTGAGTTAGGAACTCATTTCATTTTCTCATAGAATAAGAAAATTAGACATGTAACAAACAAAAACCCTGCTTGTTTCTCCACTCTTAAAATATTTTAAAATGTAGGCAGAAAATGAAATTAAGSTGTGGAAAAATGATAAAGAATGAAGAAAGCAACTCTCTTGACCCAGTACAYGACTGGAAAACAAGTGTGTTAATCACTCACCCTAAAAATATTTTGTTCTTCTCTAATCCAGGGTGTGACTGCAGCTGTAAACTGGCTACCCCAGGTAGCAGCCTCATCCTTCAAATGAGAGCCTGGGTGCTGGAAACTCAGGATTTTAGGGAGACTGAAATGCCTTTCTGGAACAGCAGCATAGTTCAGTGCATTGTTTAGCCCTGCACTGAAGGGYAGAGTGCAGCCTCCTGGCTCCTGTAGCCAGTGCTTCTGAGACCTGCCCTCGCATTTCGTGTGACCCTGCSTTAAGCTTGGTGACCACAGCAGGGTATTTGGTGCAATGCCGAGAAGCCCACGCTCTCAGAAACATGCAGGCAAGACAGGAGRGCAGAAAGTGTGAGGTGCTTACCACAGAGGAAGAACTGAGATGAGCAAAGAGGAAGATTTTAGTAAAATGACTCCTTGATGAAAGCGGAGGGATGGAAATGAAACCTTTTCAGGTTTTGTCTCCAAAATCATGCTTTTAAAGGTTGTTAGCATGTTTCAGTACCATTTTTCACTGATAGTGTTAAAGATTGCTAAATATGGTCTTGACCTAAGTGTATGACATGGTACACTATATATTTTTGGCAATGGATAACAAATACTACTTTTGACTTGTTGCCGTGAGGCTTTAGGATTTCAGATATGCTTTGCATCCCTTTCTGTCATTCTGTTTTTTTAGCCTCTCTGTTCAGTATTTCAAATGTCACAACAAACATTTCCAAAGTTTATGTTTTGAGRAGGATTTCTTTGGTTTTATTGGAGTTTCCTTTGTTCTGAGATTGCTCTGGGAGATTTGTAGAAATGTGTATTTTTTTTTCAGTTCATTCTATTTTTTTAATGTTATATGAGGAAAGAATGTGGTAGAGAAGTGTAACGTGTTTTCTTGAGTGATGCTATGACAGAACAAAAGAACTGTTATATAAAATTGCTCTCTGTCACTTCTTTTGAAACACATACTTGTGATTAATTAACCCGGCATTATCTTTGGCCATAATGCAGAGGTGCCCATAACTTTCTTTTATGTGGCAAAAAAATGGTATGAACTGAATCTATTTTAGTTGATGGCACTGCGTGAATTTATTCTGCCTGAGAATCCAGTTTCAGAGTCTTTGATGCCACCCCATTGCTTGTAAAAACTTTTCATATACCATGATACTGTTTGTTTCTTRCTGCACTTTCTCCCTTAGAGCTTCGCTTTTTGGCAAACTTCTTGTTGTTTTCTGGTTTCTTTCAGGTGCAAGTTCTGTTTCTTGCTTTTTCCTCCTGTTCAATATCCTGCCTTTCTCTTGCTGCAGTTTGGCTAGGGAGCCGCACTGGGAAAAGCAAAAGTAAGACRGTTATATTCAAAACTTACATGCTGCTTCACAGAGGTGTAACATAATGCTCAGGGGTCAGATCCCTGCTCCTGCATTGGCTTTAATGGGTTTGAATCAGTCTGCTTTGGAGGAAGTTGTATGTTTTATGTGCAAACCCCTCTTCTCCATGCTCTAGATCCAGCTTCCCAGTTTGCAGCCTTCACTACAACTATTGCAATGGGTAAAGGCAACAGGAAAAAGTTGAATAATGATTATTTTGTCTTCATTAATGTAGTTGTCAGTAGGGGCTGAAAGTACCTAGCCTTATTTACCCACTGTGTGGTAGACTGTATTGTGCAAGACTATGACAAGATACTGAAGTGCTGGTAACCCAGTCTTTGCTTCACAGCGATGGCTAAGGGTGTCCCGGGTTCTGTGCAGGTCGGAGCCAAGGTGTCARTAGTCCCCTCTGGTGCTGAGCTCAGAGATGCAAAGGTGGGCTGTGTATCAGAGCTCGCTCCAGGCCTGGGTAGAGTTCATGGTGGAGGGAGGGTTGGCTGCACGTTTTTGCTAGCTTTACATTTGCTSCTCAGTTATGAGGTGGTGCAAAACAGGCTTAACAGGGTTGAACTGTGGGTTTGCCTGCTGTCTGTCACAGGTCCKATTGTTTGGGTGTATAGGTTCACCCATCTGCTTCAGGTTTCTTAAGTCTTCGAATCAACGTGGTAAAGAAAAAAAATATATATTTATAATTCACTGTTTTTTCTTTGTAAAACAGGTGTTCAGGGGAGTTTTAGATACTCTTAACTTTAAATTCTTATTGCAATAGTCCTGTTTTGAAGTATTTATCATTGATGGGACACTTAGTGTCACCAGCTCATGTTTTTTTGCGGATAATGCTTATGTGAACAAGTGGAACAATGTAAATTAAAATACTATGTTATTGTTGAAGTGCTGCAGGCACAAGTGAATACTATGATAATGATAAGTAGGATCTTCTGTATCACAAATCTCTTATGTCTACTGCCTTACTGCATTTGATGTGGCATTTTATCTCTGCCTATGGCTACGTTGTCTTGTTGTTGGAGACTGTAAATGCTACATTCATAAATTCATAATATTCATAGTATTCATAATYCATAAGCTAGTGTGTTACAGTCTTTAATATGTTAAACTTCCTGAAAAATAAACTAATGACTTTTATTTTTACAGGGTTTCTCATGTTATGTATTGGGGTAGACATTTTAACAGGATCCAAGAAAGATCTTAGTTCTGTCTTTGAAGCAAAAAGCAACCAAAAGCCACTATTCAAAAAGAGTAGGAAATATATTCAATTATGTAAGTATAATTGTACTTTCTTTCTTATATGACTAGCTAAATTGTGTGATGAGAAAGAATAAACAGTATAATGTTTTAGAACATTCTCTCTGAATCTTGTGCTCTATTATCTACATGTATAGAAGATGAGAATGATTTACCAGCTTTTGAGTTGCAGAGTGATCTTGAGCCTTTCAAGTATGAGCCCTTTTATAGGGCAGTGTCAGCTGGCTGCCTGTGGGATGGGGCTCTGGCCTTGGGGGGCTGCATTTTGCAAGTCCTCTCCTGTGGGAGGAGGCAGTGCTGCAAAGCCTGTGGTGGCTGCCACCCTCTGCTGTCTGTCACCCTGCTGCACGTTCAGAGCAGGTTCCATCCTTGGTAAATAACTGTTGCATCCTTCTGCATCCACTATAGCAAGGGACCCCAAATCACCAGGTAGTAAGTGTGTGGTCTGACTTTTTCTTAGATTCTGAAAAGTAACTAAAATGTGTGAGTTCTTTTGCTACTTTTTGTTCTTTAAATCTCTGTAATCCACTCAAATGATATTTTCAAGTATTTCTCTGTGATCATTTCAACTTTAAATGTTTTTATTGCTAGTTTTGTTTCTCTAAGGAGACATGCGGCATAAAGTTTGGTAAAAGATGAGGAAAAAAAAAAAAGAGGAAGGAGAACACAAGCAAACAAAAACGCACCTCTGTGGTTAGGGCATGCTAACCCGAAGGAGATCAATATCCATGAGGTTCAGGTTCCTGCATCTGCTTTTTCTGGGTGACCTTGGATCAAGTTACGTATCTCCTGCATGCCTCCTTTTAGCTCATTTGGCAAGTGGAGACAACAGTGCTTCCCCACTTCCCAGGTCTGTCTCAGAGAGCTTCATGAAGACCTTTCCTCCTTATACTTGGGGGCCAGAAGAGTATCTAAGAGCATGGTTGTGAGTAAGAGGCAATGTGAGCACCAGGGCAGGTAGTTTTAACAAAAAAAAAAAAGAAAAGAAAACCCTTTACAAAAGTGAGTAAATACTTAAAAAATATTGTCTGTCACCTTCAAAGCACAGCCCCAGTCGGTTGATTTTTGTGRCATTACTTGTATCCACTTCAGTGTGTCCAGACTCTTCTTTTTCAAGCACTTTGGCAGATTAGAGTGTGGATTTGCTTAGTGTTTATTAGTATAGAAAACACGTCCTTTCTATCATGACTCATCCATGGTAGAACTGCTGGAAGCTTTATGCCAATTTGTTCCAGAAAAAAAATCTGTAAAAGTAACTGCATGCCTTTTTAAAGATCTGATGAAAGATTAAATTGGAGTTAGCTGAAGTCATGGGAGATTCTTTATGCCACTGCATACATGAAATAACCACAGAGGGATTGGATCATGAAATTAAAATGTCCAAACCCTGAGAGCCACTAGCTGTCTCCTGCTGTTATTTGGAAGGCCCCAGAAGCAGTGGGGAAGCCCTGGGTTCGTATTCTGTGAGCCCACAGTGCTTTTGCAGGAATCTGTTGATGTGTTYCCTTAGCAAAGGGTTGCGCTGGAGATCTGGCCGAGGTTATAGCTATGTGTCATCTACTTACCTGTCAATGAAACTACATTTTACTTCCACACATTCTCTTTGTAAAATAAAAAATGCATGTGTATGTATCTGAAACACAGGGAATAAAAACTCCGAAAAAAATGTACATGATGCTATTACTCAGGTCCTATAATGAGTTCTTTGGTAGTATCAGTTTTACACAAGTATTCCGTGTAGATTTGGTATGTTCAGTCTGTTCAGCCTGTTCTGGTTTGGAGAACATAGGTGTATCTGCACACATAGAGATGGCCCTATTTAAACTGCTTTGGAATGGTGTTATCACTGGCACATGTGGATATTTAAATGTATACACCTTGGAATGACCATATACCCAATTCTTTTCTTACAATAATAACATAATCTGCTAACTGTTTTAAAAACAAATTTTCTGTGTTCTCTCTTTCAAGTGTTGTGGCTGTTGGTTGGTGTTGGTTTGCTGGGACTGGGTCTACGCTATAAAAGTTACAAGCAGAAGCTGGGACGGGGGGTGAGTACCGTGGAAATGGTAACTTCACTGTGCAGTGCCCGTGTGACACCTCAGGCGTGTGCTTTGGGGCTCGAGAGATCCTTACAGCAGTACCTAGCAATAATAAKGGACTGTGGGCTACCCTCAGGTATTCTTTGAGTCTATATTTATATACGTAACTGAATGGAACTGCTCCAGTAAGTTAGTTGTTAGATTCATGTTTCTTAACTAATTAGGTAAGGTAATGGATAAAAATTAGAAGATTCCGGTTTTCTAGCTGGCAAAAAAAAAGACATATTGTAATGATAGTGACAACTAAGGGTGCTTATTGCTAGCAGATTGTAGCATTTAGGTTACKTATAAATTGCCTGAGAGTGTTGTTTGCGTATTTAGTAATTTTAATTAAAAGTTAGAGCTGTTTTGATTGGATGCAAATTCATATGATTGAATTGATCTTGCTTATAAAATTGAATTTTTGATGTCAGTAGTTGCAATTATGAATTAGATTTTTTTTTGTGTGTGTGTGTGGTAGATATGAAATAGTCGATTGCAACTTGCTCTTTGATCTGTATTTCTGGTGGAAAATATTTTTGTTAGAGAAGTCACTGATGAAATTTAAAAAAAAAAAGATGCAGAAAATGTGATACAAGCTTAGTAAAAATGCATGTATAAACCTCTGTCTATATGAACACACACACACACATGCTTGATTTTATAACACACCTAAGTTTATAGTACCTTGTGRTGAGGAAAACAATATAATTTCTCTGAGAAAGATGAAAATATGCTTGGCCTTCTTAATGTTCATTTACTTACCGTTACTTATACAAATTCCAATCAACTACCATGACTTCTCTTCTCTTTTTTAGAAAAATCTATACCATTGTGAGTATCTGTAGATTTTTGTATTCCTTTCAGCTTTATTAGGAGAATATATTGGTTAAAATACGTGATCTGAGGCCATGTATATCTCACATATTGATATCACTGACTGTGAAGATATAATATGTAAAAGACAAATTGTATTTGATTTTTTTTTCTTTCTTTTTTTTTTTCCCCAGCCTCCTAAAAGAGACTTCTCTGCTATGATCTGGCCTTTTCGATTTGCATATGACAATGAGGGATGGTCTAATTTGGAAGGATCAGCTAATTTGCTTAATCAGACAGGTATTTTTTTGTTCTACTTCCTGTATGCTTGAGAGCTCACCAGAAGGGACAGAGGCCAGGACTAGTAGCTTTCTGCTGAAGTTGTGAGCTGTTCCAGTACAATCTCTTCAAACAAAAATCCAATCATTTAAAAGAGATTTAAAATTTTAAATTTCAAACCTCCAGGCCTGGACAGCCCTTTCCTAGCTGCTAGCCCTTCGGGGATGGGATAACTCTACCCTGTAGCCAAAGCGTAGGGACCCCCAGCATACAGACCTGTGGATGTAGGCAGGGACCACACTCCCCCGAGGAAGTGTCCTGGCCTCTCTGATCTCCAGTGCACTGGGGCTGGGAACCTTCCAGTCCCCGTGTCTGGGGGGSTGATGAAATGTTTTGGCAGCAACAGCCTGCTGCCTCTTTCCCTGGACCCTTTGGAAAGAAATAGCAATTTTGTGGATAACTTGTTAGGAATTGCTCATTAAACTCAAAGCAGCAGTCCCACTGCTGCATGGTTAATCTGATTCTGCACAGAAAGTGCAGTGCTTTTGAAATGCAGCATGGTAGCTGTATGCAGCCAGCTGGACGTCTGGATGTTCACGAGGGAGAAGCTGTGACATCCACACACTGAGTATCTCCATCTAGTGTTGGCAAGGCCTTTAGTGGCCCAAAGGTCAGGCATCACTTTTGACAAGTGGGGCTAAGAATGGCCCCAACTACATAAYGTATCAACATGATTATGAATTCAGAAGGACTGATAGTTTTTTCTTCCCTCTTTAGGTGCAGATTTTATCACTATTCTGGAGAGCGATGCTTCTAAACCATTCATTGGGAACAATGATCCAACAATGTGGCTTGGTGAAAGACTAGGGTTTTACACAGATTTTGGTCCAAGCACAAGAGATCACACTTGGGGGTGAGTCATCTTTACACACAGAGTGATAGTAAATAAATGAAGAGAAATATTCTCATGATTTTGTYTTTCTCTCATCAATTATAAAAGAAGAAAAACAACCAAGTGAATAAATCACCCGCTCTAACTCCAATAAAACATGGACCAAAAATAACCATAATAATAATGATCCTAACCACTTGTTGGAGCTTGCCTTGGAGAAGAGTCTCTGAGTCACTGGCATTGCAGTGTGCTGCAGATGAAGAAGCTTTGTTAAACAGGATGGGTTACTACGGTGGCTTTCATAATTCAAGAAGCGGAATCCTGTCCATTAATAGACTGGATAGATTTGGAAATCYCTTCCATGCACTGTGTCTGACTTGCTTCTTTCTTCATTATGTTTTGGAACTTGGAGAACTTTAGATTTTGGCCTGAAAGAAGTAATAGCAATTGGAAAGTATAACTGCATCTAAAATTGTTGAGATTTTTTGATTTATTAAACCCAGGTTGGGCTGTATATTGGGAAATGGGCACAAATCTCCTTTTTGTATCTGTTTTTAATGCTTGACTATCTACTAGTTYGGTATTTTTGAATATCTTTGCAGTTGGGGGATAAAAAAAGCAATTTATGTGGTTTGTTTTTAGAGGGATATGCAGTCCTTAGTGGCAGATGGGACTTCCTAGTGATGTTGCAATTTTTTTTTATTTTTTGCCTCACGTGAGGAGAATTTAATAACCTTCCTCTTCCAGAGCCTGTCTCAAAATGATGCAGAATAGGGCAGAGAAGTYACTCTCTCACATGTTCTTTTTTTTTCTTTCTTTTTTTTCCACATCAAATATTTTAGAAAACCTGAGACAAAGTGGTTTTAAGGTTGATTGCTAATGGACACTGAAAGAATGAGAAATCTCCTGCTTTAAAGAAATAAAACTGCCTCTTTCTGCTTTGAATAAAATGCCTTGTATAAATGGCAGTACAAATTCTGTTACACCTGCAGATGCGGATTTTGAAGGGTTCCATGTGAAAATCCATGGTATATCATGTAAATACATTTATTAAATGACCACCATTCTTTTCTAGATAGATGGACCTGTGGGGGYTTTGGGGAACTCTGGTCTTTAGTTTGTGCCTCATCTGAAACACCATAAAAACAGTCCTTTCCTTTTCATTCACAATTTATCTGTTAAGATCTCTGCGCCTTTTTTTTTTCCCTGTTATTTGTGACCTACTCATAGAGACTTTGTTAAAAATCTAATTAGTGGAGGAATTATTCGGTAATAAATTTGAGACATTTTTACTTAAGCATTATTTTAAGAAAACAAACAGATTTAGAAAGCCTGTCCATAGGTGGTTGTTATGGTCTGATAGTTTGAGTTCTGTGACTGTTATTCAGAATTTTGAATAATGCTCAAGCTCAAACTTTTTTCTGCTTATAACACTTTGCCTAGTTCTTAAATATCATCAAGTAACTGCTTTCTTTTATTCTCACATAGGATTATGGCACTATCAAGGTATCCAATTGTAAAGTCTACCCATCACCTCCTGCCATCTCCAGAGGGAGAGATTGCACCTGCCATCTCCATGACTGTCAACTTCACAGGGAAACTGGTCGACTTCGTTGTCGCTCACTTTGGAAATGAAGAGTGTGTATTTTATTTATTGTTATGTGTATTGTAGGAAGTGAAACATGAACTGTCATCAGTGAGCTTCTGTTTTAATTGCTTTATAATCTTTAATATCTTCTATTACAATATTACAGTAGCAAGCATGCTGGAGAAACTATTTATGGCGTAAAAAGTGGTTAAAAATTTTGAAATATTTTTTTAAGGGAAATGTTAAAACTAAGCTGAGCCTAATACTCAGATTTATGTTACCAGAGACATTACAAAGGCCCTCTTCTGTAAAACCAGAACAGCTATCAGGGCCACAGATGTGTTGTAGTTGGAGATGGCATCCGTATAACTCTGTGTGAAGAGCCCTTTATATTACACAAGGAGGAGAGGTCATACGTATAGCTCAAATATGTGATGGGAAGATTAAAGTATATTTTTCAATTCTTAACTTTTAAACAAGGTCTTAATTACTTCCGTGTAATGAATACTAATCATGCATAGCCTCTTTAAACTTTGTRTAGATATATTTTCTGTTTTGTTTCATATTGTTCTTTGTCAAGTGGCAAATTTATGAATTGCTTACAGAATATAGTACAGAAAGAAGCTGATGAAAAATAGGAGTCCTTTTATCCCATACCATACTGAGTTTTCTTGTTTGCATCCCCTGAGTAAAAGCTGTGCTCCAAGCATGCAAATATGTTTATAATTGTCAAAAATTACTCTCAGTTGGAACACTAAAAGAATACTCCATCTTGTCCCTCACATACATTATTATATTTGTTTCTGAGAAACTGTTAAAATAAAGGAAAATAGCAATGTAGTTCCCATCATAGATAACAATGAAGAGAAAATGGGAGATGCATGGGAAACAAGTACAAATTAAATTGTATTTTAAGGTGAATTAATTTGTAATTAGTACATAAAAATGTCTGGTTTTTATTGTTAGGGATGACATAAACTAGGGATGACAAGTGTTTCTTTTTTAAGTCTCTTTTTAAAATGTGGGAATATATCAATGCTGGTATCCTTTTAAAGAACCTATCTTTTAGATAGCAGTACTTTTGGAAAGAGTACCTAGCTGAGTAGGCAACTCTGTATGTGCCTAGGCCAGGCTTCTGTTTAAATGTCCTGTTTTGTCTTGTTTTCTGTCTGTCTGCTCTTTTTGCATAATGCATTTGCCCCAGTTGGAATTGGTGGCRTTCCCTATGCACAGTAGGATTTTAGCTGTTACCATCTTTTGGAATTGCAGATTCCAAAATCAGCTTGTTGTCTCAATGGTATTTAATCAAATCTAAAAAAAAAATATAGAAGAAAACAGACTTTGCATAACTTTAAGAAGTTATTAATGTGAAGAAGTGTGGAAAGAGACGCATTATTACATTGTATTGTGAAAAAGCTAGAGACAGAAATGGGGATCGAGTACTACAGTATTTTACCAGACTATATCTACTATCAATCATATTGAAACTGTTCTGGAAATCTTGTAAAAGAGATGTAGAACACTTGGCAAATGTTGTAAGTAATGATAATGGGACAACATATCTCTTAAATTATATTTCATAAGTTAAGTGATGTAGACTTCAAAACTACTTCTTACAGCGGTGCTTCCATGATAAAAGTAAAGGATTTTGTTAGGATGTGAACTCCCTGTTATGCACCAGACAGTCTGTGCTAGTRCCATTATATTTCAAGTGCAGACAGACAAAAAGTCTCAGATAAACCAAAGCACTTAGAAATTCACATTTCCCAGTGATGAGCTTGCTATTAAAAACAAAATAACAATAGAACAAGTTGTTCATGTAATAGTTAGAAAGAGAACGCTAATTAGGTCTACCATGTGGCTTTTATCAAACACTGTGATCAGTCAGCTCTCTGTAGGCTTTCGCACTCTAATACTGAGCTATTAAAAAGACTTATGTCAGGCTTGTATGCAGTTTACTGTAATATAACAGAAAAAATCTGAGCTGAAATATTTTTATAGTCAAGTCTTTCAATTTCCTTCAGAGAGGACTTGGACCGAAAACTGCAGGCTATAGCTGTTTCAAAGCTATTGAAGACCAGCTCTAAGCAAGTTGTGTTTCTGGGATACATCACTTCAGCTCCTGGATCCAGAGATTATACTGAATTAATAGAAAATGGAAATGTCCAGGTAATGTTAAGCTGCTCAAAATTCAGTTTAAAATTTCAAACTTAAATGATAACTTAAATGAACATACAAGAAAATACATGCTCAAATCTAAGTTGCCACAAGGGAAAATCTGATTGATAGCAGAATTAAAAAGAATCACATTAAGGGTTGTTGAGCATTAGCACAGGTTCCCAAAGAGGTTGTGAAATCTTTCTTGGCCTTGAGCTGCCTCCTTGAAGTCTGCCCTGCCTTRAGCAGGGGTTTGGGACTGGGGTGTCCTCTAGAGTTCCCTTCCAGCCTCTCCCATGCTTGGCGTCATTCTCTTGTTTTAGAGGAACGTTCYGCAGTTCAGTTGTCCATCAGGAAATGTCAAATGTTGTCTGGTGTGTCCATGGCAGCACAGTAGATGTTTTCCTTTCTACCTTGTTACTACACCTCAGGCAARGTGCTTTTCTGCAGCAGACTTAGATGTTGGTTCTGTTGCTGATTTAAAGCACCTCCTTAAGGAAAGTTTGCCTTACTTGCTTGACTTTTTTTTTTCTTCACCCATAGGATATTGACAGTACAGACCTGGATAGATGGTGTAGCTATATTATGTACCGTGGAGTAATCAGGTATGGCCAAGTGGATTGTTTATTCACTGACTTTGTATAAATGTTACATGTTTCTGTAGGAACTTGCATAGCAGTTTTACTTCCCTAAACAATTATGTCTAGCCAGTTACGTATACCCTGACCTAAWGAACATGGACCTCAGGGTGAATTGGTGTCATTCTGAATATTGTTTGCAGAAACCAATGAAGAGTATTGCAATGTACAGAAGCTATGCAAGCTTCTCTACCAAAAGCCTTCAGACTTAACCTGCTTTGGTAGCAGAAAAATATTTTTTTTCTAAGGTCCAATTTCTGGCTTTGCATCCTAAAATTGTGAAGACTAAGCCCTAATTTGTGAATGACACAGAAGATGCAAATTATGAATTAGGATTGTAGGGTTTGTTCGTGCAAAGTGCTGATTCAGTCCACCAAAGCTTTATGCAGGGTATAGTGGAAACTAAGAATGTAAGGCCATATGTAAGCACTTTGCTGGGCCTGTGCACTCCATATTTTGTAAWGCAAAGTTGCTTCTAAATCATTCTGCTGGTGATATGCATAGCAGAAGAGAATTCCACTTATTCTAAATTAACTGCAAATTCTGCAGTGATGACAGAAGTAAAAGTAGTAACTGTCTTAAGTAACTGTATCAAGTAAGAAAATACCATTTGCAATCTGATTTTTTTCCAGTTACTCATGCCATTAATGCTTGAGTTCCTGTCTTGAATTTCGAAATTCCTCAGTGAAAAGGTTGATGATACCAGTATGTGTCTTCTCAAAGAGTAGTTGGRAAAAGAAATCTGGTTCTAAAATTTGTGCTTGTTGTGAAGCACTTATGCCTTCTCAGTTTTTCTACTTGTGATGTTGTTATAAGCATAATAGTGCTTAGGTTATTAAACGCTTTTAAGCGTTTTGAAGGTAGTGGCCGTAGAAAGAGAAAGTTATATTGGTAAGTAAAATAATATCTCTCAAAGGGGTGGGGAGGGACCCAAAACTTGTGTATTAACAATGAGATGAAATTGCCTTATTTGTTCAAATGAACCCTCCTTGTTCCTGGTAGGTTGGGCTATGCCCGAATATCTCATGCTGGTCTAAGTGATTCAGAAGTCCAGATGGCCAAATTTAGGATCCCAGATGACTTGGATAATTATGTTGATAATGACAGAATTGTCATTGATCCCAACCAAATTCCTGAGGACATACATTTCAATCCCAGGTCAGTATATCTTAAAAGTAATTATATCAATACTGTACACTGTGTTTTTTAAGAAACAATGTTAGGAGAAAATGTGTTTTCTAAAGTGGGAGGCAATGTGGAGTACCAGGCTGTACAGAAGTTCAAGAGGCAAAAACTTCTGATGTGATTCAGTTTTTTCCACTGACTTGGCATGTGTCCTGGGAAATTCAGTCTGCTGCACTGTAGCATAAATTGAAGGTAATGTCTGTTTTGCCCAGATGATTAATTTCTGAAATTGTTTGGTAGGGAGATTTGCCAAGTGCTGGTGACTCACTTTGTAGCTGATGAGATATCTCCCATGTTTCTCAGCACAKCTGAGAATCAGGACCTTAGTATAGTAGTATTTAGAACAAATACTATATTGTTTAGAACAATATATAGAATACACACATATTTATATATATGTATAGATGAAATATATGTTAAATACTCTCTCTACTTTCTAAAATGTAGACTGCTTGAGTGCTGTCATTTTGCTGCTGACATTGAACAAATAAGAGAACTGGGGAGACAGGTATTTATTTTGTATTAGTGGAAGGGTCATCAACAGATAGACATTGCCAAAGATGAACAATTTCCAGCACTGTAGATGACAAACATGAGCAAAGGAAACTTACTACTTCAGATGTGCACAATAGAGAATATATTAATTTCCTATAAGCTTAGCCTAGCGGCTAAGCTTACTYGCTTTTTATTTACCGTGCAATCACTGGCTTCTTGACTAAGCAGGGATTTGCCTTTCCACATAATGAAGCTTGCCTAAAGTCAGCATTACATGTTCGGATTTTTCTCAGTGGGGTTTTGGTGCAGTTTGACTCTCTTGTCCTGATTTCCTTTATGTCGCCTATATCCAGAAGAAATTATGCTCATTAGGAATAATGCAGTAACTTTTTTTGCAATAACTAGACTTATCACTGTTCTAGCATGCCTGGCTGGCACTAACATTCTAAATAAATGCTGTGTTTTCCTGTGTCTACCTTAATAGTAAACAGTCAAAGCTTTCTGAGTTAAATGTCRTGTAAAGTCTTGATAGATCTTGATAGAACTCAAATTTAAAATCTCCACATAAGTTTCAAAAGCAAAATGTGCAATATAACAATAGGATTGAGTGTTTGGATACTGCAGGGATGAACTGTGTCATTGATTGAAGTCAATGGAAGAAAATTCGAGTATAGGATTTACTGGATAAAAGCACCTCTCACCTTTGTYAGCTGGAGTTCCATTTATAGAATGCCCGTGGCATTAATCCAATCAGTGTAATTAAATGTCTCCGTTAAACTCAAACACCTTTAGTTAGATCATTTCCACAGATTATGATTTATATGTAAATAGACTTGTGGCTTCTTTCTGAAATGGACTGTCTAGCACGTTTGTATGAAATGTTGATTATGCTGTAAAAGTGCATGATTTAACTGCGTGGGTTAATACATATTGTAATGATTTTTTTTGTGGAATATTTTCCCTTAGGTTTGGATCTTATAAAGATGGACATAATTATGAGCATATTCATCATTTTCATATGAGCACTCCTAAATATTTTAAACAGACAAATTAGAATGAGAAAATAATGTACCACTGGGACCAAAAAGAAAGGTTTGTTGCTTGAATCTGAATCGCCAGCCAARAAAATTACGCAGTGTAAGGATGAGGATTTGCTCTGCTCTACAACACGGTGAATGTCTGCGCAGTAGCTGCTTCCTAACTAGTGAGTGGTCACTACTGTGAGACAGGGAAGGTGCCCGTTTGATAAACTGGTATCTACCAGGGACAGTTACCTGCTTGGTATGTAGCAAAGGGAGGGTGGGACTTGCTGGGGCAAATTGCTGCTTCACTTTAGCAGGGACTACCTGTGTTGTTCTGTTTCAAAGTTGAAAATATGTAAAATATCTATCCATAAAATATCTATGMATTCTAGGAGCTCAGTGGATTAATCATGAGCGGGGATTGGAGCCTTTTTCTGTGCTTTTTTAGACTTGAACAAAGCAAAGGGGTTGGATGTTACACTTAGTACTCTGGTTGCTATTGTGATAACACATGTATAGCTTGTTTGTTTTTTTTTCCCCCCAAAAAGGAAGAGTCCTAGAATTTGTGAGTTGGTTTGTTTTTGTATTTCTTTTCCATTGAGAGATATGGAATAATTATACAATGTGTTTAAAGAAGTGTAGTCTATGCATTTTTACTTACTGAAACCATATTTCTATCTGCTGCTATTCCATGCTGTATTCTTAAATTCCTTATTCTTTAGCTATATTAAAATTTAATTTTATTAAAATTTACAAATGATTGATATACTTAGTATTGGAGGGAAAAAAAGTGTTCTTTTTTTTAAGGAAAAATCATTATTTACATGCTCTCTCTTTTAATATGGTACTAGGCTTCTGAATTACTACTGTTATATGACAGTGGACACACAAGGAAGAACCGAAAAAAATCACATGGACAGGGTCACATGGAGAAGGGAAAGGAAAAAATGATGAATTTTTTATTCAAAATGAACAGTAATAAAACAAAAAGCAAGCACCATTCTTTTGCTRGCTTTATATCTTTTCGGTGTGCACAAGAGTATGGTGTTTGYGGGGGATCTTTTGTTTGTTTTGTTTTTTGGCCTGGGCAGTGGATTATCCATCGTGTCATTGTCATTGTGGTCTTTTAGATTCTCTTGGCAGTTTTCTGTRTTTAATTCTGATCCTCCCCTGCATGTGCAGAGCTTCCTTTGAACAATAAGGACATTTTCACTGTTGGCCAGTGGAACTTTGGTGATAGTGAGAAATGTGTTAATGTGATTTATTTAAATGATTGCCTTAACCTGGAAATCATATTTGTGGTGTTGATATTTCGTTATGTCTGTCTTTTCACTGATATCTGAAATTACTRTAACTGAAAGGAATGGATCATGTTGCAAGGACTTTTTTCCCCACTCAGTCCAGTGCATTTGAGAATGGTTTGAGCACACTCAGTTTTATTGTTTCCTTATGTAAGAAATCACAGCCTGTAATTCATAAATACAGAAATTTCTAGCAATTCAGAAATTACAGCYTGAATTTCTTACAGCCCAGAGCTTCTTGTTCCCTGGAGTCTGGTAACTGCTGCCGTCACTAAGGTTGTTGCTTTATCTTGGTCACCCATCATTCTGCTCCCTTTTTGTAGCACTGCATCGCTAGGAAACACGTCACTGACTTGGGGGGGAGTGGGAGGAGGCAGGTGATCTCCGAAGGTCCCTTGAGGAATATATAGTCACCACCACTTGGTCTCATTATATAATGAAGCCATGACCTCATTAGCTACAATTAGCCAGTCATTGTTGACTGATTTATTCTTTACCTAGAGGTGTTGTGTTGTCTTCATCAGATCAAGGAAGCCTAGTTAAGCATTCCAGGCTAGATTTCCTTTAGGAAAGGATTTGAAATCCTCTGAACTTTATCCTCCAAGTGATTTTCCAGCAAGCCACGGTAAACTGGACTTCAGGATCATGGGAATGCCACTAGCCCTGTGTCTCTTCTGCAGGGCGCCTCGGCTGCTGGCACTGGCACAGACGGTGTGTGGTGACTCCACGCACTCCTGCTCCTTCTCAGCAGGCTCTGGTGCTAGCTCTGACTCATGTCCAGCCTTTCCACAGCCTCAACAAAGCGTAACAGTAACATGCCGCATTACTCAACATTCTCCACACGCTGATTCCACAAATACCTCATACTGTGAGCAGTTTACTCATGTGAAATGCAGGAAATGGTACTCAATAAAATAAAAGAGCTTAAAGGACCCATATTTTAACTTAAATATGAAACCAGAATATATTTATAATGTCAGGCTCCAAAACATGATTGACAGAAATAGATCAGACCATAGATGATGGTTGTGTAAAGTCTTCAGAGTCTATGATACAAATTTGTTGGATTCTTAGTTTTGTCCTTCGCAGCAGGCGAAAAATTTGTGGATGCATTTGCCTGTTAGAAATGTTTGCCTAAACAAACCTATTCTGCTCCTTTGAGTAGCCTGTACAACGTAATGCTCAGAGCCCTGTATCTTATAATGCCTTATTAGAAAACAGTGCGTGCCAATGTAATTATAAGGAGAAGTAAGAATGTGGTGATGTTTGTATTATTTTCTGAGGGTGCCCAAGAGAAAATATGGCTATGGACTCTGGCTATATGGCTATATGGCTGTATGGCTATATGACTGTATGACTCTGTGCTGCTATTGCTGCTGCGTTTAGGATCGGGAAGGTAAAACTGCACTTTATTCGTCCTTGAAACTGCACATTGATCTAATCCCCACTATCTGGGTCAGAAGGACATGCAGCACCCTCTGAGTGGCAATCACTGTGTCTCAAACTATGGGAGAAATGTGCTGGAACAGGTCTTGCCGCAGGGGCGTGTGACTAATCTTGCTCTTTGCTAATCGTACACTTCCATCGCAGCTTTTGTAAGATAGTGTGGTGTGAAAGGAAGAGTTTGTGGAAATCTTTTTACTTTCAAAGACAGCATGGAAATGTGTTTTGTTTTCTAAAGGTTTGAACTTTACCTGGCTGTGAAAGATCTGGATTATGTATGTCATTTCTAACTGATACATGTTGTTTATCTTCTTAATTCAATCCTCCCTAACAGCTTAGTGAAAGGCACTAAGAAAATGTACAGGGAGAGATGCATTACATCCCATATGTAATCACRTATCTCTCACAATACGATACAACTGCTGTTACACTATCTGAAAGAGCAGTTTCTGMCATGAGTCGCTCTGGATTCCTCAGCAGGGTAGGACTTAGACCCTCTTGCATATGTTCCCTCTTTGGGACCTCCACTCTGGCATGTCTATGTGCACAGTATAAGCTAAAAATATAAGTCTAAGGTCATAGAAATAYGAGCTGCCAACAGCTTTTAAAGATCTTTTTTCCCACGAACATGTAACAATACATGTTTTGTAGGCTGGAACAAAAGGGCACTTGGGGCCAAAGCCGAACCGCGGTGYAGCGAGTGTAACAGGCCTTTTTTTTTCCATAAAGAGGCAGCACGGCACGAGTGCAGGGGCCGGGGTGATTAAAATGAGCTAAATTAATGTGGAGTGGAAAGTGCAGGTGCTCCTTTCTGCCGCCTGAGGTCCCCTTTTCTCCTTACTCAGTAACACATTAGCGACACCACACACGAATAACAGCGGGCTGTTTCATTGCGCTTATAAAGGGAAAAGGCCTTTCAGAAACGTCTCGTAAAGCTGTTTGCAGGGGCTCAGCTTTCAGTGACTTTTTGCAATCTCCATATTAACGAGAACTGTGACTGCTGCGGTGGCGGTAGGCACTTAGTCTCTCCCCTTACAGTGTCCTCTGCTGCGTTGATGCTTTGTGTGCTTTGCTAACGTTAGGCAGAGGTTAAGAGCTGGTTTAAAAAGCACGGACGCAAGGCGGCGTTTAACGGCGTTTAACGGCGTTTAACGGCCGCTCAGACCCGCGCGCCGTTTAACGGTCTCAGCCCAGCCCTCCCTTGGGTAAGATTGGGGCCCGGTCGAGACCCCACCCCATCCCGCACTTACCCAATCGGGTCAGGGCGAGGGCGTGGCCCTCGGCCTGCAGAGCCAATCAGGGCCGCGGGTGACACAAAGTAGTGCTCTTTGCACGCGCTTTGAAGGCCAGGAAAAACTGGCATCGGCCAGGCCCAATCAGAGCGAAGGGAGGCGGGAACGTCTCAAGGTTTCGTCCAATAGAAAGGCGCGAGCGGGCGAGGAGGGTGGTGCGGGCCCGGTAGGAGGAGAACGGCAGGTACGCGAGCCAATCGAAGAGCAGCGTGTGCGGCCTCGTGGGGCAGCGCGAGCCAATGGGTGGCGCGGGTGGGCGGGGCGGAAGGCGCCCGTGCTTGGGCTCCGTGATTGGGAGAGGGTCGGAGGGAGCCGGGCCGGAGGGCAGTGAGCGCCGCTCGAAAATGCACTCGGATGCCGCCGCTGTCAGTGAGTAGCGGCGCCTCCGCCCCGCCGCGGGCGCCCCACCAGCCTCGCCGCCTCCCGCGTGCGCCCGGGTGCTCCCCACGGCCGCCCAGGAGGCTCCGCTGAGCGCGCGGCCGCTGCGGTGGGCGCGGGGCCGCCGCCGGGCGGGGGTTGGGGGGCGTCTCCGGAGGCAGCGGCCCCTCGGCGACTCTGGGCGCCCCGAGCCCCTCGGTGGGCGCCCCCGCAGGGCGAGAGGGGCCGGGGGGTGGAGCAGGGAAGGCGTTTGCGAGGTGGTGGCGGCAGCGGCTGCGGGAGCCGCGGCCGGTGGGGGCTGGGGGCGCCGCGAGGCTGTGACGCAGTTTCCCCGACCCAGCTTGCGAGCGCAGGGAGCACGGAGGCCTCGAGCCCCCGCCGCTGCCGGGCCGGGAGGCGGCGGCGCTGAGGGGAGGCGGGCGGGCGCGGCGCCGCCCCGGTGGAAAGGGATGCGGGCGTTGGGGGGGCGCTGGGGGACACGCTTAATATAACGGATTGCATCGGGCTGGTGCATAAGAAACGGGTTGTGAAGGGGAGCGCGGGCCGCGGTGCATGGTGGGAGGTGGAGTCCGCTCCGCTTCCGCTGAGAGCGACGGCACAGGTGCTGCGGACTACAAYTCCCGGCGTGCCCCGCGCCGAGCGGAGCGCAGCGGGGCCGGGGGCGAAGGCGCGGGGCGGAGCGGGGCGCCCCGTCCGCTCCCCCTTGAGGCGCTGCCTCCGCTGGGTTGCCCGGGGACGGGGGCGCCTCGCTCCCCGTAGCCGCCCTGGGAACCGGCACCATCCCCCGCTGTTGGGGACGGGCGCGAGCGCGGGGCCTCTCGGCACAGCCAGGGTCTGGGTTTCCCGGCGTCTCGCAGGAAGGCGCCCTCGCRGTGCGGGGAGTTGCAGCTCGGAGGCGCCTGGTCACTGCGGGGCTTGCCTCGTGGAAAAGAGAATGGAAGCCGAAGCTTTGATCTCGCGTTAATGRCTGATCTGCTGTCTTTCGGATGAGGTCCCTGGAGTGATTGTGGGGAAAAGATGGTGCATAAGGTCTGGGTTTCCTTGAATCCGCCTGTGTTTCTCAGAATGGGAAACTGGATGGGGACAGGCTGCTAAAGGTTACTGCTAACTCTTAAGGTTATGTAATTTCTTTAGTAGTTCTGGTTTTTTTCTATGCTTAAGGTTCATTATATGTTACTGGTTGAGTTTGCAGTGAAATAGCAAATACCTTTCACATTGGAAAGGAAAAGCTAGTATTCTAGAACTTGCCTTCTGCTTGGGCTCTTCAGAATATGCATTCCCTGAAAAAAGGCACAAGCCTTTATTGCACACGTGTAAGCTGCAGCTGCAGATACTCCCACACACCCTTGTGTAGGGTGCTGAAGACTATACGGTGCTCATTGTAGGCTTATTTTTTTTTCGGATTTCTCTGCAGAAAAAATGAGAATAACGTTTCTCATCTTTCACCTTTTACTAGCTTCCTCTCCAGAATGTCACTTCCTAGGTCAAAAGCTCTCATTATTTCAAGTAACAGACATGCCATGAATATGGACAAATGTTTTCTACAGTTAAAATGATCGACTGTGTAGTGGTGATATGATATTCCTTCTGTAGTAAGTGAGACTTGCAAGGGCTTAAAGCAGAAACCTTCTTTGAGGCTTACAAGCTTGTACATTTCAGGTAAACATTTTTCTTACAGTGCCCATCAGGACATTTTATTTGAAATCATAGGCCTCAGACTTAACAGAATTTCTCTTTTGGACTCATAAATAGGTTAAAAGTCACTTTTTGCTCTGTGACTTTTTTTAATGTATATTGTCATGGTCAGAAGTGGTTTAGTCTGCCCTGGGGAAGCAGCTGGTGTGCCACTCGCTTCTGCGTAGCTTGATGCAGATGTGTGGCTTCCCACTCTGATTAGGACTATCTCCTGCAGCTGCTCCTTACTGCCCATTAGCTGAAGATCACCGCTTCCATGCTCTCCTGGTGAAGTGCTCCTATCCACTCGGCCAAATTCATGTGGCTAGCTCTTGCTGCTTATTTAAATTGTCTAAGCTAACATGGTTGATTTTTGCCTGGAGTGGATTAGAGAGAGCTCCCATGATGGATGCAGCTGGCAGAGCCGCGAGAGCTGTAACCTTTGGCAGAGAGGAGGAAGCCAACAGCTGGGACCATAATGTCTTTGACTGGCAGAGCTGCTTCTAGGCTGCAGAAGCTCCGATGTGATGTATGAGAGATGAGTGTAATGGCCTGGTAGCGCCTACTTGATCTGGACAGGGTTGTGTTTCTGCTGAATTAGCTAGAGCACAAGATACAATGGGCAGAAAGCCAATGAAAACTTTGTAGGATGACAGACGACATCTAATCTGACATGAAGCTGGAGGACTGTGGGCAAACTATTCTATGGCTGCAGCACCTGCTGGTACCAAATTAACTCATTGACCTTTCTTGAATGGATTTCATGGCAGAGTGAGATTTGGACAGATCAGCAGTTTGCATCATATTGTTGTAAAAATTCGATTCTGTATTAAGTACTTTGTAGGTAGATTTACTGTGTTCTGTAGAGTGAAAGAGGGCTGGTTCACAGCCTGAGTAACATGAATCACTGAAGTGGTATTTAGTTCGGTAATGTAAGCTTCAGAAATGAAGTGAAATTAGTTCTAATTATCTACTGCTTTTAGTCATTCTTATTCAGCTGTGGCCAGTCATTCAGCTTTGTTTTATTCTGGCAAGATGCTCCATTAGGAATGCTGCTTGAAGAYGGTTAGTTGACACACAAGTTGTGGTGCTTAATAGTTTAAATCACTCTTTATTTTTGCTTTGGAATATTTCTGGTGCATAGTAATATACACTGGCTTGCAAGTACAGTTAGGATGCTGTTGGCATCAGCAGCTCTGAGCTCAGCGCTTTTCCGTATGCACTCGTATGGGAGAAGCTGYGGCCTCGAGGCTGGGCCGCCCTGCTCCTTGGCAAACCTGGATCCTCCCGCTTCTCTTTCCATTTAATTGGATGCTCTCACTGCCCACAGTGGAATTTTATTTTCCTTCTAACTCTCYGTATCAAGCCCTATGCTAAGCGCTGCTAGACTGGGGGAGGCGCCGCTTTTCCAGCCCTTCCTGGTCTGCCTCCCCAGGCCGCGGCAGAGAGGCCGCGCAGCCCTGTYGGATTCCATCACAGAGCCTGCAACTGGGCCCCTGGTTCTCAGGCCGGAACGTGGAGTCGCCTCCYGCATCCCTGTGCGGCTGGTCGTGAATCTCTCTCCTTGCCTGCACTGCTCTGTATCTGTGTAAATGGAAATAAACCTTCTGATTCACATTTTCCTGCTATTTTATTTTTGGATATTTCTGTAAGTAGACTGTGGAGCAGATGATTATTTTTCTGGATAAGCAAGCCCTGCTTAAAACCGTTTGAGGGAACGCTCCTTGGAACCATTATTTCCTCTATCACTACTAATTTTCTCCAATTTTATTATTTGAAAAGGGATTATACTAAATAAAAGTAAAAGCGTAAACACTGCATTTTATTTTTCAGTGGTAAATCTGTCTAATACATGTTTTCTGCTTTATTTTCTGAGAAACTAATGATAAATTACCCTAGGTATTTGTACCAAATTAAAAGCTGTCAAATATTTTCTGTGTCACAAAAATTACTACTACAGCTACTTGCATACTTTTTTTTTTTATTACAGAGCTGTATTTGTAGCATTTATGACACAGGAGTCTAGTATAATACTTCTAGAAGTATGTTTACCACAAGAGTTAATATAGATTTTTCCATTTGCTCAATAAAATAAACCAGAAGCTTTTAATGGAAACTTGGAGCGTGCTACTGATGTGATCTAGTACTATTGCTAATTTTGTAGTAGATCGTAATGCAACTTGGAGCTGTGGTTTGTTTCAGGTCTTACTGTTCTTTCAGTTAGAAGATTTAAAGAATACAAGGAATTCACTTGATAAGATTCTATCTTGTCCAAGCTTTGAAGTGATAATTTTGATAACAGGAGCTAAGTTTTTTTAGCTCAGACATGTACTTGTTTACTGTAAGTGTAGGCACGTGGGTGAGAATACGTTGCTTAGGTGTTCAGTTGTGATTTCATTTGAGCAGTTTGACAACACAGGTTTGTCGCCTATCAGAACCAGAGCACAATCGTCTTCCCCCCAAAATCTGTCCTGACCTTTCAAGATTGTGTATTTTGGATAGGAAACTTGAGGGCTCAAATTTCCTTTACCTTTACTCCTCAATTATTTAAAATATTTAATTGGTTTTGCATGCTTGTTCATGGCATTTCTTAAGCTTATTCCACTGAGGGGGGTATAGAAAGATTTTTCTTAATCTACCATGTTGTTATGAAAACAAGCTCATTGAACACATGGGTGAATTATTTTGCCTCTTCATAACTGCCAGTTCCTTAGGGTAAATGTTAGTGCTAACACCTTGTTTTTAAAKGTTATTTTTAAGCTGTTTGCTTTTTACATTTATTCTCTGTGTGTTCATGATTAATTGACTAACCCAGGCTTTAACACTTGCTCTGTATGCTAAACTGCAGACAGGGCATAAATCCTGTGCTTTGGGGTTGACYCTGTCATTTCTTTTTCTGGGTGATCCTGCGGTTGATTCCTTTTTTCTTTTTTTGCTAATACTTCTAAAATCCAACTGTTACATTCTTAATTGTTACAGATATTTAATAGCATCTTGAATTTTAGTTGCTTAATTCTTTTTAGAGGTAAGTCAACATCTACCTGAAAAACAGAAGTTAAACAACAAAAATAGTTACATTTTTGACATYCTTGTTAAAATCTGTACCTTAGCAAACATTTTAGCATAATTTTTCAGTATTTCCTAAGCAAGTAGCTTTCCACYTTTTAATCCCAGCTCATTAGACTGCATGGTATATTACAGTAAAATAATTTCCCATTTCTGCAGCAAAAAATGGTAGTTTCTGACCAGTTCACAGGCTTTGAATGAAGCTCAGGTTAAGCTGAAAAATTCAAGTAAAAATACCTTCATGCTTGATGGTTTTCCTCGCATAAAATCTCATACAACCTGTAGCTGAGTATGTGTTTCATGTGTTCCTGTTGCAGTGGGACCTGAGTGGGCAGTTGTTTTGCTGGAATAGATTGCTGCTGGCCAAAGAGGAGGTTTTGCACCCATCTGTGATGTCCTTTCCTGCCTCACCATCACTCTCCTTTTTGGTTCCTGATGATCTGGCTCAGACCACTGAATAAGCAAGGTTTTGCTGGGCAATAAGGGCATGTTGGGCTGACCAAGGGGATCAGGCTGGCCCAGTTGAGCGGTTCATAAGCAAATTTGGGAGCTGGAGTTGGGCAGGRGAAGCGTTTCTGAATGTCCCACCTGCAGCCAGCTGTTTCATCAGGTCACTTGTCCTGTCCTGTTAACCGTGTGATTGTCCCTTTGCTGTTTGGCAAAGTGGTGCCAAAATGGGACTTGGCCTTTTTCAGTCTTTTCAGTGTTTTTCAGACTTTTTCAGACACTTCACGTGGCATGGAATACTTACTGCATGTTGCTTGCACTGTGGGTATAACTGCCACTGTGACCACTTCAGATGCTGACTTGACTTTTGAATGTGCTGCCTGCTGCTCGTCTTGCCTTTCATAACAGGAACCAAAATAAAGGAGCCTCGTTTGAGGTTTTAATATTATCCCTAATTTGCAAACTTTTACCATGAGGAAAAGAGAATTTTGCACTGTCATTTCATTCTAGAATTAAAAGTATTTTCTTTTATAATAACCTAATGTGAATAGACCGGTTTTTGGAACTGAGATGTGATGGTTGTTGGATGAGACTGTGAAATATATTTGTATAATCTCTCTAAGTCCTTTGTGATTATATAAATGTTTTAAAATAATGGCTTAAATTTGCAAGGATATTTCCAGTGGATGTGTGAAACATACTACTATGAATTATGTGTTTTGAAGTCCCTAGAAACTTTATTTTAAGATTGCCTTATTAGGTAAGGCTACCTCTTATTTTATGTTTACTTTGCATGTAATCTTAGTTTTAAAGTATTTTGTGTATTACTTTTAAATGTGCCATTCAAAATTGCAGTCTCATATGAGTTTAAATAGAATAATTGTTCATCTTGTTAATTCAATATATAATTACTTTCTCTAAAGACTCATGTCCTTTGTGGACCTTAGGGCAACTTGGCAGATCTTCTAGTTCATAGTCTTGAAAGATCAATTTATGTTGGTTAAAAATGATAAACATTATATTTTATTCCTAGTTTTATAGGAATTGCTCTTGTTCATTTATTTATTTGTTGGTTCTTATCACGTTGAATAGTTGGCCACAGGATCACCTATCAGCAATAGGGAAGCCAAATTAGATGATCCCAGGTGGAAATGTTTAATGTGGAACCGATAGCAGGGATGCTATCAAGATCTAGTGTGGTAGATAAAACACTGAAATCAAAACCAATTATAGTAGTTAGTAGTAGTTAGTTGTAGTGTGGTGCTGGCTTTTTTTTTTTCTTTTTTCTTTCCTCTTAGCAGGTGTTTTTCACACTTCTTGCTAGCCTGCATGCTTTGTTGCTGGATCACATTTGATTTTTTTTTGGAGGGGGGGAGGGGGGGAGTGAGTGGAAATCACTGTTTTTCTAGTTTTGTTCCTAAAATATAAAAGTGTGCAATTTGAAGCTTGAGGAAAAACTTGACTGTAGCTTTTACAGCTGAGGCAAGCTCAAGTGTTACATCTCTGTGCATGTAAGTAATGATAAGGCTTCATACAGGAGGTGTCAGAAATTTTTTAGTTTGAATTTATCTGGCTTTGGTTTTAGCAGTTGCTGTAGTGGCTCAGGGTAGAAAAGTCAAATTTCAGTCTTTTAAATGTTTTCCAGTAATTTAATTTTGCAAGGAAATCAATATAAACACAGGTACATGTATATTAACAAGTTATCTTAAAATAGTGTCTTAGGAATGATTTCAAAAATGAAGGGCAATTAAACTGTTTTTGGAATGGAGATGGAAGAGATGGATGGAGATGGAAGAGAAGGACTGAGCAGTATGAAARACCTGCARTAATGAGTCTCATTTTAATAAAACATAAAAATGTACATTTTTTGTTTCATTTTTAACTTCTCTTTTCATTAATTTTAATTCTCTTTCAATGGAGATGATCCATACCTCAAGAAAGAGAGCATATATGGAATCTTTTTTGTGGACTTCATTTACTTACTGGAGTGGATGGAGCCAGAAATCAGAGTAATTAACACCTTATTTTTTCCCTCTTCTAGATTTTCAACTGAACTCTCACCTATCAACACTGGCAAATATTCATAAGATTTACCACACCCTCAATAAGCTGGTGAGCACTCGCTGCCTTCTTTCTGCAGAGTAGCTGGGACTTTAGTCCAGAATGTATTTGTGGTTGAAATCATTAAGKGATGACATTTTAAACACCATTACTGTCTTTTTATATGGGAGGAGAATGAGCAGAGGGATGGCTGCGTGTTTTGAAACTAGTGAATTGAAAGCTTAGTAGCAGTAAGGAGAACGGAGCAATTATACTGCAAGGGTCAGTACTGGATTGAATAGATGTTTCTGTGTAAGGTTTCCCAGATGTATCAAGTAATGATTGTCATCGTTGCTATTCAATTCCTTAAAATTCCTATGGAAAATGGATGAGTGAACTGTCCTGTTATGCAGAGTGAAGCAGGAATTTCTGGAAAATTGCCCATGCTTGTTTGCTGTGTATTTGCATTTATTTTTATTGCAGCTTTAGTTGTAAGTACATACAGAGGTTCTGTCTCTACACTGAAAATTTAGTGAGAAAAACGCTGCCCCCAAAGGGGAGGTGGGCATGTAACTGGTTTCTGATACTTCAGTCAGTTTTCAGGGACTTTTCTTCAGAACATTCTGTGCTCATTTTTAACTTTACTGTAAAAACTTTTCTGTTTAATCTTTCTAATCCTGGCAATTTTTAATAGAATTAAGACAGCATGGCAAAATTCTTTACCCAAGGAGTAATTATTTTGACTCTTCAAACCTGTTTAGATTATATTTTTGATCAAACATACTCAAAAATATTTTTGAAAATTACTTGAGTTTATTCTTGAACTTTTTTAAATTGCAAGGTTAACCTTTTAGATAAACACAAAATGCTCTACGGTCTTATCTAGATGTTTTTCATGCAATGAGGATGTATGTATTAATAAATCGGTAAAAGATTAAAAACATTACTGAGAAGCAAAGATTACTCTGTTTAACTATATCATTCCTTTTCTCTCGCAGAATCTGACAGAGGACGTTGGTCAAGACGATCACCAGACAGGTATTTAACAGGGACATAGAAAGTCTCGCTAAAATATATTGATAGTTTAGAAAGTTAAAGGAATTTTAGGAATCAGCTACCATTTTTTCTTTTTTAAATTATGTTTTTAAAATGAATTTTCATGCTTGCAATTTCTCCATTTCTGAAGAGCTGCTGTAGGTTTCAGTGGTATCTGTTGTCTTGCTGCTTCATGGTATAAATTCTTTACAACCCCATATGAACAGTGCCTCTCGCTCCTTGGACTCAACCTGTTGCACTGGTGGGATACCATCCAAATTCTTACAGTGTTTTGACTCTTGAAAGAACATTAGTTCGAGCAGATGCCAGATGACCTCACATCATTATTGTGCTGCCTGTGACCAAGTTTAAATGCTGTGCTCCAAACAATCCAAATACCAACTTGAGGAGTTTTGAAACTTATTTCTGTTTCTTGTGCAGATTTTTAAGAAATGCCTGAGGGTTATTTCTTGATTCTAGGTCTGTTTTCTAGTTAAATGTCGTAGCTTTTTGAGACCTTTATCCCAGGGACTTGATACCAGCTTGCTGCTGTTATTGATTCACCAGCATTTGAGCATTGTGACTTGATGTCTTGCAGTGTTTGTTACCTCCTTCTTGCTTATTACTTGTGATCTGGCATGTTCTGTGCATTCTTCTATCTTTTTTCAGGCATGTTACCTATGGGAAAAGAAATACAAGTTGCTGGCTACAAGCCCTGATGATTTAGCACAAGAGTTCTTTAAAACTGAATATATCTATTTTAGCATCTGTCTCACTTTTTCTCTAGCCTAATGTGTTGACTGTGTTTGTGGATGTAACTCTTGAGTGCTGAAGAAGAGTTGTAGAGTGATGCCAGCTCCTCCTGTGGACTGCTGGGACATGCCTGTAAATCTAGCACACTCCTGGCCTAGGGCAGTGAGAAGAGGGCTGTCTTGTTTGGGATCTGTCAGGGTTCTCTTCAGACTTGTACGGCATCCTCCTGGTGCCGAAAGGTGACTTTGTTTGATAGTTGAACCATCTTGCCCTGTTGTGAAAGGATTTTATCATATGTTTTCCATCTGTGTGCTTACTGCTCTGTAAATGAAAAACCTCTGCACAGGAGGGTTGAAGCGTGTAGTTTCAAACACTTGGAGCTTTTATTGTCCATGTATTAGAACTCATGTCCTCTTGCATCTCTTAATGGAGATCTCAGAATTGTCTCTTTAGTGGTTTAAATACTCCATGCAGAGCCGGATATGTAATAATTTAATGTATGCAAAGATGTTCTGTGCAGATGTTGTGTAATTTTTGATTACAAAAATYGGTTGTGCAGCACCAAGTATTTGTTTTGATGTAGTTTCTTTCAGTCACTGAACAGAAAAAGTAAAGCTTTAAATATTTGAACTTTGTCTTTTGTCTTGTTGGGTGCTCTAGATCTTAAAAATCAGTATAAGAAAATAAGTTCAGAGCTGTTTTCTTGCTTGGAAGATGGGCGTGTTGGTTTTAATGAACTGCTTTATTCAAATGCTCATGGTTATCCCATTACCTACCTGAATTGTTTCAGTTAAGCTGTTTGAACAGCCTAACAGTCCATTGAATGAGCTGGAGCACAAAATTTTGGTAAATAGTATTATTTTTGCAGTAGCTGCAGAAGATTATAATCCTTCAAATGAGGAAGAAGTATGAAATGATAACTGAAAGTATGGACTGCTACTTACTTGGCTTCTCATCTTCTGATTTAATTTCAGTGCTTGTTCTGCTTTTGCCCTGTGTTATACCTACTTGTGGGAGAGCAAAGGTGAAGCCACACTGTTTGCATAAGTTGGAGGCTTGAACTCGGTGTGTGCTTGGTTTTCCTCAGGTGAAACAAATGATGAGGCTCAAGTGAGGWTGAATATTCCTGCAAGGTACTAGTTTGGCTTCCTGTGTGTATWGCTCAGAATAGTCATTTTATTTGTAGTCCTAAGTGTTCAGTTCAAATGATACTTGGCAGTTTGGGAGCATCTTGATGGAATCTAAAGAAAACTACTCCTSCAAATTGCTTAATCCCTACATGCTTAAAGTTTATAATTTCTATTTTTCCATGTTATGGGTTGTAAATCATGATGAGAAGTCTCAGGTCCTTTTAGTTTTGTAATRTAACACTTGCATAGGTGCTCTAGATTTATTTGAGGTTCTGTGCTGACAATGCATTTGAAAGTCACGTTAATAATCTGTTACAGAATATTCCTCCAGTATTACTAAGCTCAGCTAAAGATGACTTGTTGTCTTTGGTTAAACTCTCAATCTTATGGAGCAAGTCTTGCCCTTAAAGGTCTGGCTCCCCCCGACCTGATGTAAGTACAGGAGACCTGTTTTGAAGTAAAAATACATATGTTTAAATCTGGTTGAGACCTTTGGAAGCCATTTAGAAAAATGGAACATTTCAACTTTATATCAAAATTACATCCTTTGTAAGTTTTATTCAGATTTTTTTTTTCCAGAACGAAAATCTCTTGGAGCTCAGGACAGTGTTTTAAAAAACTTTTAATGCTTTGGGAGCAAGCACAATCCTCACTTCAAAATAGCAGACACAGTAAAGACTAAAGTAGTCTCATAAAATTCTTCCATTCGGTGTGTATGTATTTGAAAAATAAGGTAGGCAGTAAAGGGTATTCACCTTTGCCTTATCAGCTTAAGGTAATAGAATCACAGTCATGTTGTGAAAAACACTGGTGTTTTTATTTTTTTTTTTTTCAAGCATCTTTATGCATTAACTTGGAAGATTGTCTCACTGGTATTTGAAATAGTTGTTAGCTCTGCAGTCCTAAAAGAAAAACAACTTGTTAATAGCTAAGGTTGTTTGATTAAGTTGTGACTTCTTCACCTATCCTTACTAAAATATTTTTAAAGTAAAAAAATCCTGTTATCGACTGACCAGTTAAAAATAAGGAGGGAATGTCTCCAACAAAACAAGGCTTCACGGCTTTCCTTGGAGTACGGCTTGTGGAAACTTTTGCCTTAATGCTTATCCTTTTAGAGAAGAAAATACTTGAGTCTGAAACAGTTCAGTAGTGTGCCATTGAAGATGAAGGAGATAACATTATTTTTTTCTTTGTGTACAGGCTTTTATAACAAGATTGCAAATTGTGGTTGGATGAGAATCTTGGTTTTCTCATCTTGTTTTTGAAAAATCATGATTAACCCTGTTTGTGGTGATCTTGTTACATCATTAAGTGAGCAACTATGCCTTTCCAATTGCTTCAGCATTCACCGTTTCTAATTAGTTTTCTTTTGAAACATTCCTCCAGCTACTTAAGCATTAGAAGAGCAGGATTATTTACACACATTATCTTGAGAGAAGATTAAAATGATGTGTGTGTAGATCACTTCTCTAGGGACACTATAGGATTCTTATGGGCAACTTTTTTTTGGTCTGGTTTTGGTGTTGTTCAGGAGTGTCCTTCCTTTGTGAGGCGTATCTTGCATGTTGGTTTAAATTTCTTGGGTGGATTTTAGCTCTTGCGTTTGTATTTCTCTTTGGTAACATTGTCTTCTGCAAACTGCAAAGTATTGAATGGGACACTTGGTGTACAGCATTTATACTTGGCAGGCTTACAGTTGATGCTGGCCTATTCAGCAACCATTTGGAGACCGCCTTGCAAATGCTCCTTTGAAGAGTCAAAAAACACAGTGAGAACTAGGAGGGTTCTGCCATTCTTGAGTTGAGACCCGGGTGTAAGAAACTTTGAAGAAAATCATATCGGAGGATATGCCCTTGGTAAGTAAAGTTCCTGTCAAACTTCGTATGAGGTCAGAGGGAGTTGAGTTTACAGGTGATGAAGCAGATATCAAAAGACGTCAGTTGTAAACTAGAACTAGAATTTACATTTTGGACTATAAAAAAAAAAATGTGTTTTTAAAAAAATCTGTCAAATAAGTACTTGCATGAACAACAAAAAAAGCTCAYAAAAAAGTAGTTTTTACTCTTCAGACAGGCAAAAGGTAATGGTAAAAGGCAGAAATATTCTGCATTGAGAATTTGTTACAAGGAAGTAGTATATTAATTTGAAGAGCAATTACTGGTCCTAATAATGAAAGTAAATATTTTTCAAGTCCTTATACTGTGATTTTTCAGTAGTATATCGATCATTCAACAGTTAAGTCACAGTGGCGACTTGTTCTAAAACTCATTTACTAAAATCTTAAATCACTAAGAGCATACGTGTTATTTTTGTTTATCTGGTGTGCTTTTGTGTGTGTATGGGTGCATGTGCATTAAACAGCCACTTAAATTCTGGGCTATCTCTTTTCTTCCCTTTCCTGTTCAGTTTGAGAGCTGCAACTAGATACATTCAAAGCAAGAAAAGGCACAGGGTTTTCATGAGCTATTGGAGCAATTGGGGTATGATGCATTCTACTACCAGTTGTAATCAGACTTGGAGATCTTCTTAAAAATGCCCTATTCCTCAATGAGAAAAATGTGGGAATTCGTAGGTGTCTGGGGCTGTTAATTAAACAGAACTATTCTTCCCTTCTAGAACTCTTTTTTTAACCATCTTTTGCTTGCTTCTCTTCTTACCAAGACCTTGCATATTTCTTTACTCCCACAAAAACAGCAAATCACTAGGAGGACTACACAAGAGAAACTGTTTTTTTTTTTTTTTTTTTTCCATTTTTGTTGTTACATTCTACCAGATTCCAATGTCATGGCTACATACTTTTAGATACTGTTGTATTTTATTTTTTCAATATTACAAGCAGTTGAATCACCTTTTTCTCAAAGGAAAGGAGATAGCTGCAGGGTGTGATCAACTCGGGCTCAAACATTTTCCAACACTAGCTGTKCATTAGCATGCGTGTTCCATTTAAGTTTTTTGTTTGTTTTTGTTCATAGGTAGGAATATCTTGGTAGCCTCTGACCATCTGTTAAGTTTCACTGTCACCTTAAGCATTTCTAGTTTGTGTAAGTTCTTAAATAAACGCTTACTGTCAGTWTCTTCAGAAACTTTATTTAAAGAGCAATAAAGAATCATTCTTTCACTAACTTGCAGGAATACAGTTTTGCAGTATTTGTTCCAGGCATGACAAAATGAAACAAATGACATTGAGCAGATTAGGTTCCCTTAATTTGTTTCATCTGGGTTAGTGAATTATATATTTTTTTTGTTTTTTTTTTTGCTTTTGACAGTGCTTAATTTGCCTGTTTCAACTATATCTGATATTGTTGAGATGAATGCCACTACTGTTAATTTCATTTATTTTTATGTAATATATTCTGGACAGTGATTCATTCTTCTGAAATGGCCATTACGACGTGTTCATGTTTAGCATCACTCTGTGATAGGAGCTTACTTTGTGGGGTGTGATGCTTGGAGGCTTCTTGCTCACCAGTTAAATTATATGTAAATGGATGTACATTGTGCTTAAAGCTTTGCTTCCAGAAAGTAACCTTAGTGTGGATGTGGCTATACTCTCCTGGGAGGATGTGGGGGGAGAGGGGGAGCTTTTGAGGGTGGGGGAGAAAAAAAGAAATTTGTAGGAAGAAGTTTTGAACAACAGTGTTTCTGGGACTAGAGAATTTTATTCTTAATAAAAAATACAGGTAAGACCAAGGAAGGCATGTTAAGTGGGAAAGCTTTATTAGCTGAAGCTAAATTAATTCATTTTAATTTGAAAAATAATTTGAATTTGTCTAATATTGGAGAATACTTATTTTCATGTGCATACTGTGTGTATGCATAATAATTTCAGTGCATGTTTGAAAAGCTACATGTAGCAAAGCCTGTGAGGCTGTAAGGTTCCTTACATCTGTTTCTCCTATAACAGGAGAGAGACTTTCAAAGATACGAAGAATAGGTAAGCATATCAGTTTTTAAGTAAGCCATTAGTTTTTGTCGGGAATTGGTCCTCTAATTTCAGTTGTGCTGTCAGAAGTGGATGAAGTTTTATTGTTTGCCTCTTTTGATGTGATTTAAAAGAAAGCAAAAAAAAAAAAAAGAGACTTTTGTGGGTGTCAATGCTGTTGAATCTAAGAAAAGGTAGAGTAGGCATGCTGGAATTTTTCATATTTTCTTGCAARTTTCTTTGTCATCGCTTTGTGTCTGGATTTTATACCTCACTTTTTTCTTCCTTTCCTTTTTAAATTCTCTTCATAACACCTAGAGCTTTGATTTGATGGCTCTTCTTGCACCTTTTTCAGGTGTTCACATGGTGCAGAAATAGGACAAGACTTTGCCTTGAGTGTCAGCCTGTTGATTTAATGAGACAGCAAAGCCCATTTAACAACTTGCTGTGATCAAAAAGACTGGTCCTGTTTTCTTTCTTGTGCTAATACATAGAAAGCTGCTGTATTTTGGCATTGTTAATTAACAAGTTTGAGCAGGATCAGTCAGTCACCAGAACTGGCAAGGGAGAAGCAGGAGCATGCAGCGGAGGGGAGGGAAAGGCTGCCATTTGATTGCATCAGTGTCTTAAATTTGCTCTTTCCTGCTTGTAGAACTTCAGCTTTAGAGAACTTATCCAAATCCAAATGATGYGGATGCTTTATTTTTTTATTTATTTATTTGTAGTGGTTGCTGAGTGTCTCCTGACCCTCTTCCTTCCTCCTACCACCCCAAACCATCCGATCAAAACTCTGCGTAGATCTTGCTCTCTCTATGCTGCAGAAACGCTTTGAGCTTAAACATAAAAAGCTTTCATTTTCAGGAGGTGTGATGCTCTCATTTGGGGGGCAGATCCATGTTTCAGAAAGTAATGGATGATCTTCTGATTTGAATAAATGACTGGAAATTAGGATGCCTCATGGAGGCTTGAAGTACTTCTTTGGTGTATTCATACTTCTTATCTATTACTAGGCTGAAGTAGCACTAGCATTACTGTATATTTTCATGTAATTTCTAGTGCTTTTGTCTTTAACTTAAATCTGATTATAGAAAACCATATGAAAGTAAGATCTTTTTTTTTCTTGACAAGAGATCATTTCTGTAATTTTGAAAGCCATTAACTTCCTTCCTTTGTAATATGCCTATTAGTGGCCACAGTTTAACTGGTCTGCAACAGTTTCATTGCTTGTACTGGTGTTTTTAATTCCCTCTGTAGGAAGTCTTCGGTCTTGCAGTTCATCAGACTGCTTTAGTAAAGTGATGCCTCCAAGGAAAAAGAGGAGACCTGCAGCAGGAGATGAYTTATCTGCTAAGAAAAGTAGACATGATGGGTATGTCATCTTACCATGAGCTAAGATTGATGGAATATCTAAAGATGATTAGCTGATATGATTGTGTGCTTAAGTACTACTGGAAATGGTATTCAAATTTGATTGGATTCTCGGTGTGGAGCCGTGGCCCATGATTGAACTGCTGGATATGAATAAGCACATCTAGGTTAAATTCCTGTTTTACCTTTTCCTAGTTTTGCAAAAAATCTTGTAGAGAACTTGGGTCACCTGCTGTAAAAATAGACATGCTCAAAATGAACCTTCAGTTAGTAAAATTATCTTCATATACCTGTGTGTRTATATAGAATGATTGTGTATATATACATAATATAGACGGAATATGCCAAGTCTAGACTGACATATTCAATTTACAGCCTGTCAGAAAAGATTTTGATTTATAGTTCCCTGTGAAGCACTGCCTTACCTTAAGTCATAACCTCTCCTTATCTTGTCGTGGTTTTGTATGGGTTGTGTAATGAAGGGTGAGGATTGTCTGGCAAGGCGATTGTCACTGGTGGAGCGGTGGCTGAGGTGGCCCTGCGCCCTTCCCTCTTTCCTCTGCGTGGCACAAGTGCAGGTGCTCTGTAACGTGGGCATGAGCAGCGTGTCCTTTTGGAGGAGGTGTTGTGTAGCTGGCGCTTCGGGAAATGTTGAACTGTCCCTGTGTGCTTGGTTGGCCTCAGTTGTTCAGAATATTTCTCTTGTATGCAGGACTTGGGAATTAAATTCGGAGTTTTTGGGAGGAACAGGATGGTACACTACATGGTGGGTGCTGTCACATCTTAGTAGAAGGGCTATAATATGATAATAGCTTGTCATTGAAAGGCAGTGACATAAAAACTTTTTTTGCCACTGTATCACCTGGTAGAATTTGAGTTCTCTTACCCTGATGTATTGCAGGTAGCTTAGAAAGCCCTTGTTTCCATAACAAGTATCTTCCCCAAGGCATAAAGAAATATATTTTTCCCCTAACCATCGGTTTGAAAAATGATTGTACTATCAGACTTGGGCTGGGTACTTTCCTTTTTTGTTCACCAGCGTGAGTGAGAAAAACACTGGTAACCGAATTAAGCCTCTGGTTATGCCTCTGTAACCCCATTGTGTTAAATAGGGTTGTGCAACTGTAACTGCACTGGAATTTATTAAAGGATCTGTTGATGCAGAAGAAGAAAGATTTCAACTCTCCCTTTCATTGCTTTGCATATGTAGTGTTAACAAAATCCAAAAAAAAAGCCCATCTAATACTTTTTGCTACCTTTCAGAAGTACTAAAATGTTAGAGCTGACAAGTTGATAGCTTATTCACTGCAGCTTATTTAACATCGATATACAGAGTGGAAGTGAAACAAGGGAAGAATGTTTACATCACTGAAGTAGAGATGTTAGCGTAGTTTAACTCTCCTTTGGCTGAAATGCTGTCAGTAGAACAGAATATACAAGCCAAGAATGTAAGGCAATTTGTGAGCAAGAAATACAGATTGATTTAATCCAAGTGTTAAGTGTAAGTAAGTTAAGTGTAAGTAAATGCTAAGAAGCTGATTTCTTACTCTAAGCGGTATCAGAAGTGCCTACGTATATTTTCAACTTCTTGAAAGCATAATTAAAGGACTCTTATTATATCTGCATTTCAACTTGCTACTAATAGACTCTCATTCTGCTGTCAGAGACAGTCTAAGGCTCCCCTAAGAGATCCCTTAGCCTGCTTTTATAAGCAGAGTTAAAACCAGACCTGCTGGTCATGAGAGGAGGATGCTACCCTGCTGCCGTGATGTGCTTCCAGTTTTTGTCAGTCTCCTTAACTTCCAGGGTGGTTTGGGTCAATTCTTGTTTCAGCGTGACTAGCAGTAGAAATTAATTTGCTGAACTTTCAGCTCCGTTTTAGAGCTGTGTTTTCCGCCCAGGAAGGATTTCTTAATCTGGTTATGCCTCTGTAATGTTCTATGAGCAAGTTGGGCAAAGAGCAGGCACTCTCCTGCTTCACACTCGCCTCGTGGACAGAGCTTAGGCCTCCTGGGTTGGGTTTGGGGAGGCCACACAAAAATGACTATGACAACAAATGGCCACAGCACTGTGCRCTAGTGGAATTAATTCTAATGGCATTTTCTCCTTATGTTATGGACAGAGAATGATAGGAACACTGTGGGTTGTGCCAGTATATAGGAGAAGAGGCCTGTGCTCCATTTTTATGTTTTTACCACTGCTGATATTTTGGAGATAGACTTCCTAGAAGCTGCATGCTGTTAATTTGAGATAGGTCTTCAAGGCACATTAACCTGTGTGGATCCTGTATTGTTAAGTGAAAAAGTCACGTTGCTCTTCTGTGACAGGTAGAGGTACAAGGAATCAAAGGGAAGAAAAGGAAGATACCCAGCCACTACTTTTACATGAGAAGTAAGAGTATAACTCTGTATTGTGTAGTTATCTAATTCTGTGCATTAGTTATGCAACTTCTAGCCAAATACAGCATTCTGCGGATTTCTTTCTGATGGAAGAACGAGCTATCTAACATCTTTCTCTCTCTCTTCTCCCTCCTCCCTGCCCACCCCCCCACCCAATACTTCCGTTAAAGTAATCTGCTCTTCGTTCCAGAATCATGCTGAGCAGAGAAGCTGTACAGGAACCTTACAATGATGAAGAGGGAATGCTTCCCTGAAAGCTTTGTTTTCGGGCAATTAGATCTAGAAGTCTAACTCATTTTGGATGTGTGTAAAGACCACATCGGAGCCTGTTTATATTAAAAAAAAAAAAAAAAAAAAAAAAAAAATCAACTTTATTAGGCCCTGTGCTTTGCAGGAAAAATACATGCTTTGAAAACACAGTCAACACAGATTATTAACACTGGCGAGTTATGTGAGTGTAATAATCTTGGAGATTTTCTTTCCTTAGGAAAAAGAAGTTTTCTTGGTCTTATTTTAGGTAGGTTGCTTTATCCCGGCCTTGCTCCACATTCTTTCCTCTCTCTAGTTAGTGAAATGTCTCTAAAAATCTGTAACAAAAAAGAAAATGCCAGAAGCCCCTCAAGGGAATGTTAGTTTTAATATAGGGAAATATTTAGTGAGGTCAGCTATCGCTCTTCCGAAAGTGACAGTTTGACTGTCAGTGTCAAACTAGTAAAGATGAATATTTYTGAAGTGCAAGTTATTCTGAATCCTTAACTCTGTATGTACCTCATGTAAGAGACAAATATCTGCTTTTTCTCCCTAGGCAGTTTGTTTCCTTGCTGTTACCTCATATCTGATGAGCAGCATGCCAGGGCTGAGGAATGGATAGAGTAATTGTAAGTGCAGAGGCAGAAACTCTGTTTGCTGTTGTCTAGTAGGCATATGCTCAGCATATGCTCCAGGAAAATATTCTACCTGCAGCCTTTTTAAAACTCTGTTTGCTGTTGTCTAGTAGGCATATGCTCAGCATATGCTCCAGGAAAATATTCTACCTGCAGCCTTTTTACCTCTGAGGATGAAGTCCTGCATATATCTTTCCATCTCTGGGCATGGAGAAAGCAAACTTTAGCGCTCCTGTTTGACATTCAGTATTCTCTGACACAGCTCGGATTGTAGTATCAGATGACATTTCTTGAGAGAGTTAAATCAGTTAAATCTGTGTATCTGATACTTCCAAGAGCGCTGTCTTGGGAGTCCCCTCTACCCTCCACTGCCAGGTTGAGCTTGTGATACGGAGCAGAGTTATAGAGAGCGATTATCTCAAATATTTGTTGAATTCCTTGCAGCTCCCTGCTCATGTCCCTCACAAGCACTTCACGGATTCGGAGTCTCTTGCCACTAGAACTGGCTGGTTCTACAAGTCAGACTAGGTTGCTGGGGGAACAACTTGGTGTTGGGATTAAATGGGGGAGAACAAGCTCCCTCCATCTATGAGAGCCTACAAAAAGGGGATTACATTGGTGTTACTTTGCCTCTGTTGTGTTCCTCCTTAAATAATTTTCATTTGGTGGTGTAGATGGTCTCATATTGGCTGTTGTAGGTAGAAAGAGGAGAACTGAAGAGATTCACCCGGCTCTTACTGTTGCATGATTTTATGCATCTGACCCTGTATATTTTTCTTGCCTGATATGAAGTCACTTGCTTTTTTCATCAGCGTCTGGCTAATCAGCTTGCAACAGACACCAGGGCGGTCTCAGACTATATACTCCCCAGTTTTATTTTCTGAATTTGGGAAGTAATTTTCTTACCATCGTTGGCCGAAGATCTTTAATCACTTAGTTTGCCAGAAACCAAGCTCCAGTGGTCAGATACTGAACTTTTTGAATAGTGGTAAGTTTGAGGCCAGAGCATTTTGCTCAAAATAATAAGGCTGCATGTGGGCCCGCCTGCTCTTGTTTGTGAATGTTGTTTTCCACAACTCATAAGYCCTGCCTTGGGGCTAAGCAGAGTGAACAGAGTTGCGGGTCTATGTGAACTGTGTGAAAACTCACCGTATTAGATGCAGTGGATGTAYGAAAGGGGTGCCTTATTTTCCTTCCATTTATACTCACTGTTACTGCTGGTGTCTCTGTTGAGGCTGCAGTGTGAGCTCYAGCATTTGTGGATGCAGGAATCCTTTTCCTGAAATAACTGGAGAGCCTGCAGCTCTGCTCCCAGTTTTGTTTCTTAGGGACTTCTCAAATCTCGACAGTTAATGTACTATACGAGTGACAAACAGGGAGCTTGGTTGACATCTCTTCAGAAGAGACGGCCTTGTCTTGTGCTGAATGTCCCTCCTTGGGAAATGCTGGCTCGACATGTCCCAGGCCCCAGCAGTGCTCTTGTAGACAGGGACCAAAACTGTTCAATAGTTCCAACTACAGCCAGGTTTACACCAGCTATTCTGGTTTATGTTTTGTCATGTTTGTTTGCTCTAAAATGGCAATACAGAATAATTGATTTTTTTTGCCAAAGTTGTGATATAATTTTTATGCCTCCAATCTTCGGCAGACAGGCTGACTTTTGTGGTTCCTCTGAATTCAGAATTTTAAAGCCATATTGTTGAGGTTTCTCCTAATCAGGGTTGTTTCTGCAAGTGTAAGGATTAAGTTATCAGAGAGAAAAACAAAATCATATAGAAAAACAAGTCCTCAGAATAAAAAAAGATTCTAGGCTTAATAGCCGTGAAGAATTGTTTGAGCCTAGTGTGATGTACTAATAGGACGTGGATATGTGTATGGCTGGCATTTGTCTGAAATTTTTCACTTTGTTGCAAATCAGTGTTTTTCAGTACAGTATTAATCTTTCTATCTTAATCTTAATTTGTATTTGTCTTCCAGTTAGCAGTTATTCATTTTGCCATGATGAGTACTACTGTACTCGTGCTTAGTTGCTGTAGAAGAACAGTGACAGTAATTCTTGGAGTTTCTGTTGGAATGATCCCTGTGCCGTTAATGCCCGGTATGGGCTCCTCGTGGCTCATAGGTGAGCTTGGTGGAAGAAGTGAGATCCACGCGCTCTGAGCTCTTGCACAGAAGCTTCTTGCATATGTCTTTCTAGAAGGACAAAGTGGTGAGGAAATCGAGCGCAAATTAATTTCATCAACACACTTCAGATTTCTCCTACAACCAATTAGTCACTTTGGCCTCTCACAGCAGGATTTGACACCATAATAAGAGGGTCTGGAAGGTTTCCAGGCTGTTCTTGGCTGTCTCCCCTGGGCCGAGCTGTTTGTTACTGGGCTCCTCTCAGCTGCAYGAGGGCAGCACGAGTGGACGCGGGTCGGACGCAGCCACCACGCAGGCGCGAGTCTCTTTCCTCCCATAAGCTGCCGCAAGAGATATCGTCTATTCCAGAAAAGACTAAACAGCACAGAGTAACTCCTCAGTTCCCGCTGTGCCTTCCATCTTCCARGTGTTGAATTCGGAAGATGAGTGTCACTGCCTGAACGCACTTGAAAATTCCTAAGCTGCTTGCACGCTCATCACTCTGCCAGTCGTGTTCTGGTGATAGCGGGGTCACCACTGATCTAGTCTTTCAAACGAATCTTTTCCCTGTGATGAATGGGGTTCAAGTTACTGTCAGTTGGGAGCTGTAACTTGTTCTGTATGGTTTGTTTGGGTTTTCTGTTTGTTTGTTTTTGAGTTTCTAACTTACTGGAATTAGAAGAATGTAATTGTGGGGCATGGCTGTTTTGGCCTTTGTGTCTTTTATAGGATTTCAAGGAGGCAAAAGGATTATGTGCAGCTCTCTTCAGCTAATAAGTAATCCCAAGTGCATGAAGCATGTGTGCACCTGCAGGTAGAAGCTGTATCCACTATAATATGGAATTACTGTGTGTTTAGACCCACGGTCAGGTTGCAGCCCATCAGTTGATTGTGGTAACTGTGTGTGAAAATCTTACCTTCTGCCAGTGCAAAGCATTTTGGGGTTGAACTTGAACTGTTCTGGGTTTATTATACGGGGAGTTCATGTATGTGCACAAGTAGGAGTCAGTCAGAGCTTCATGGCCTGTTGAGAAAATGTATTTMGGTTCAATAACTGTAGGCTATTACCTAAATGACTGGGTAGGAGACAAGATGTTGAGGAASCTGGTTAAAGAAAGAAAGCTGTTGAAAATGGCTATTGACTAAAAGGTTGTTTTAAAATTTTGATTATTTGTTTCTCTCTTTTTTTAAAGTATGTATAGAAAATATGATTCGACTAGAATAAAAGCAGAGGAAGAAGTCTTTTCAAGTAAGAGATGCTTAGAATGGTTCTATGAATACGCAGGTAAGGGTGACATAAAATTTTTCTTCTGACAACAGCTTAATCTACAGTGAAAGTAAAAATTGCATTAACTGACCTTTTCAAAACTAAATATAGAGGTGTCCTGGTAAAGAAGGAAACTTTTCTTGTGTTCTTTGTAGCATGAAGTTGAATATTTCAACTTGTAGTTTGTCTTGTTAAATAAAAAATAAAAAAAACAAGACCTATATTTTAAAATATTTTAAAAGGTGTATGCTTTCCTCAGATCTATAGTTAACATTTTGGACACAAATAGAGATTTATCTCTCTTGCTTAGAGGTCTTTTCACCTGCCCAGTTAACACTGCGCAGTATAAACTTGCACTGTCAGGGATGATCCCTTTTAAGTGAAATGTAGTATAATTTGTTCCTGCTAAATCTCTGGTTCTAATTTCAAGCACAACAGTGAATCAGTTCATGTATCCCAGAATAGTGTCCTCTTTTATTAGTTTTCCATCCTGCAGTATAGGAAAGGTATACTGAGTTCTTTATTCCCGTTCTTGTATATGAAAACTTTCCTCAGACATTAGTTCTAAAATTAAAATTACCTTGCTGCGATGGAGTCACAACAGATGATCATCGAACAGTGAAGTCACTGGTTGTAGTTTGTTTTCCTGCTTTTAAACATGCTTTTCTGAAGGGAAGAATTTGAAACACAGGGAACAAAATCTTCTTACGACTCTAAAGAAGATGAAAATGAAATTAAGTTATATAGTTAATGAAGGAAAGGTCATCTAGCAGTTTTCTCATACTGTCTTGCATAACATCTCAGTTTATTCCCTTTAGTCTACTTTCTACATGTAATGAAGAGTGACTTAATTTATTATAAAATTTTCTTCTAATAGCATTGCATAAATCAAACCAGGCTGAGATCTCTTATCTGTGGCAATCTGTTCAGTCAGACAAGGCAAGTCTAACCTTCTAGATCATGTGGACCAGTTTGATTTTTTTTTTCCCTCCCTTTTTCTTTTCTTTTTACTCTAGCAACAGGGATAACTCATTCCTGTCAAGAGTTCAGTGGAAAAAAAGGACAAAGGAGGGCAATATGAGAAAACTTCTGGTTTTCCATTGGCTACATATGCCAAGATAAACCAGAGGAAAGTGGAGAGTATGATTTTGTTTGCAGTAGCGAATAATATTCTAAAAAATAGCTTTTTGAAGGATGATCTTTTCTGTGTGCTTGCTTCTTAAGTCTGCTCTTGTATTTATGCAGACAGTTGGTGCTGCATTTGTTTCTTTCCCCAGTGTCTTTGCATTACAGAGTAAGCCTTTTTAAAGGCTGTTGTGTATATTCAGAGAAGTGTTGGTGGGAGGAAGTGATGGGAAGATGGGGATAAGATATAATTAAACCTTGGTATATCTAGAATAATTGGTCACCTAATAATAAAACATAGATTGGTTATCCTTTTATAAAACCTCTTTTTCTTCCACATTTGGTCCATAATATCAGTTGAAAGTAGGTATTTCRGTCTCCTGTGCTGCTTTTCTCAAAACAAACCCTTTTTAATGTGTGTAAGTTGAACAAAATAGGCTAAATAAGTTGTACAAGATAATCTTTTCTGAAGTATGTTATAATACACTAATTATGTGTATATAATTTGAGTATAGCATAAGTTATTCATATCTTGATTTGAGTAGCATCTGGTTTAGCTTTTGAAACTCTTTCTTCTGAATAAACAAAAAATAGCTATGTATAATTCATTATCTTCCTTTCCCATTCACCTGCTAAAATAAACAAGAACATTTTTATTTTAGTCTTTTATAAAYGATATTTTGTAAAGATAGTTTATAAATGAGATAACAATGAAGGGTGTTCTCAAAGGAAGGTAAATTAGATGGAAATTTAGATATTACTGTGTGCTTACAGTTCTTTTGTGCTGTAATGGTCTTATTCTCTTAATTTGAACAGATAGGCAAAAGGTATTTTGTTTGCAGGCACTGATGACGTTGTAGGGCCRGAAGGTATGGAGAAATTCTGTGAAGACATTGGAGTTGAGCCAGAAAATGTAAGTTCCAGCTTAATTCAAAATCTTCCTAGCCTATTGTAATAATGGTGAGACAGTTTTTTCTCTTTTCCATCAAGAATTAAAAATGTATAAATTGAAATTTTGAAGAAGCAGTTTGAAGGAATATAAAGCAGAGATGTTTATATGAATACTTGAAAACAAATCGCTACCTTCTTCAACTAAAAGCTGTTCACTTGTAAAATGTCCAACTTTCCTTTGCCACTTCTTCCTTTCTTGCCTTCCAACTATTCTCGCACCTTCTCAGGAAAAATAAATAAATGAGAGRGTTATTTTCTGAGACCTTATTGGAAGTTTAAAACAACAACAACAACAAACTAGTGCTTTATCTGCATTTTCTAAAGGAGAAAGGTATTTCAAGTAGGAAAATATTCATTTCATGCAATTTCAAAATCCTAATGGATCATGAGTTGTTGTGCCTCTTGCAGGCCTTTTCTAATGCATAATGTGTGCTCTTTAAATACACATGCAAGTCCTGTCTCTTGTAGGATTTTTGGAGCATTATCCATATAGATAAAACAGAAATTATCTTTTTCAAAGATTTATTGGAAATATGAGATGGAATTACTTAACTTTGAAGTTCATGAGCACAATAAAATTTTGCATTTGCAGACATGCTGGGAATATATAAAGGTATTCTGATTTTGCCATTAAAAGGTTTTATAGCCTCATTAGCATGAGCTAGATAAAGGGCTGGTTTGCAAATTTAAATGGCATGATTATTTTTACCCTTTGCTTGTAGTCTGTAGTGAAAATTGTCCTGCAACTTTTCCCATACATATATCAAAAGTGATATCTTGAATTCATGAATGTAATACTAATCTCTCATACYTCTTTTCTGAATATTATCTTGCCGTAGCTTCTTATGTGAGCTATGAGAAGGATATCTACATTACTTTTTTGCAGTTTTAGATAATTTTGATATTGTTGTTCATCCACTTGGTATCTACCCACTTTGTACTGCATGTTCAGATTGTGAGATTACTTAGGGTGACAGTACCCAGGCATAGCTGAATTCAAGTGGGATCATCATCAACCTCAGAGCAATTAGATTTTACCAGACTCAGAGGTTGCGCTGATGCTAATCTGGGAAAGAATTTGACAAATGTCAGAAGCAACTTGTGTTTYGTAGTTGGTTCAGGAAATCTTTTCTTTAGCTTTTGCTTTTATGTTCAGTGCACTAACCCATCTTCCTCACGGTTGTGCTACCCACTGGATGCCCACAGTGACTCTGTGTGCTCCTTGGCAGAAGAGGCAGTGGTTCCTGCTAACGTGGATGTGGGTTGGCTCTGTATCTTGGCACTCTTGCTCTCTCTTCATCGCATTAGGTGTGGGAATTGAAGAAGAGAAGTGAGAATATTATAAGCGATTTTTTTTCTCTAAAAGTCTTAACTGTTGGTGCTGGATTCAACTTCACCTGCGTATGAGARACTGGAGACAGACGTGGCAGCAGGAGGGGCAGTGGTGGGAGAGATGATGGGCATGAGTATTTTATGCATAGACAAGTCGTATAGTTGTATTTGGATGACTTAGGTCCTTAGTAGGAAAAATCTGAACATCCTCATGTATTATGCAGTTAAGCTGTTTTTGCCTACTAAGTAGTAACTATTAGAAAAATGTGTGTTATTTATTTTTATTTTATTTGTGTATTTTTATTTTTATTTGTTTTTATTTATTTAATTGGTTAATTCTACTCAGTCTTGATTTTCCCTCCTCCCTTTTAAACAGGTAGTTATGCTTGTATTAGCGTGGAAGCTGGATGCACAAAACATGGGTTACTTTACATTACAGGAATGGTTGAAAGGAATGACATCACTACAGTAAGTGCTCTGAAAAAACCTCCAACTCTGCTATACTCTTTTTTTCTTTTTTTCTTTTTTTCTTTTTTTTTAAGAGACAATTTTTTTGAAACAAAACTTGAGGCAGAGCACCTTGCTCTACAGTAGTAGCTGTGTGTTTTTGATCCTGTTTGAGGTGTGCCTCACTTGGAGGTAACTTTATCCTTAAAGCTACGTGTTTAAGTACAGGTGGCTTAAAATGTTTGCACTCTTGGAAAAACAAATGTCATGAGGTTTCATACTGCTTATTCTCAAGGACTTGAGACATCTGTCTTGGTTCCTGAATTGGACCTATGTATTTAACCTCCTGAGCTTTAGGGTCATTGCATAAATACTAAATAATAGTATGCTATTAGAGTATATGCAGTTTAAAATACTATATAATACACTTTTTGTGTATTTCTATGACCACACATTTTTGTGTTGAAGAATTGCTTTTTTMTCTTGAGACTCCTCATTTTGGGATAGTTAATTTAACTGTAGTTGTCTAATTACATGTTTGATAGGGAGCTGGAGAAGGACTGTCTTTGAACTCGTCTTCCAAAGCAGATTCACTAAAACTGTGTAGGTAACTTTATCAGTAAAAGTAAAGAATGTAGTTGCACTTGTGTGCTGGGCTGGCTGCCTGCCTTGTGTAGATAAGTTCTTGGCTAATCTGCTGGGGAATGCTTGTTCTATGAAGCCAAACAAATTTTTATCAGTGTACAAGCATAAGCTTTTGCTAGCTTATCTGAATTTATTTCACACCTAGGGTTAAATCAAGGCATCTTACATAGACAAACTCATAAATGTCTTACATTCCTGTGGGAACATGAATATGTTAGAGATTTTTTTCTGAAAACGTCAGACACCACTATAAGAATATAGACTATAAAATCTCTTCTGTTTTTCTTATAGATGTGATACCACAGAAAAACTGAGAAATTCTTTGGATTACTTGAGATCTTTATTAAATGAGCCTACCAATTTTAAACTTATTTATAGATACGCATTTGACTTTGCACGGGTGAGTATGTGGAAGGCTAAAAATGGAACTTTACCTTCATAAATAATAGAGGCTATATGCTATTTCTCGTCCAAGATTCCACTCAAGATTGTTTCTAACACATGGACAAGTTCTTTTTAAGTATATGCAAAATATCAGAAAAAAATACAAATGCTGCTAAATGGTTAATGAGTTAGTGGTTTAGATGTAGTGCAGAAGACATCTTTTACTGCTGCTTTGCTTCAAGCTCTTTTATGACTTTGGGAAAATCGTTTGGGCCCTATTCTGTTGCATACTGGAGCTTGACCATTTACTTCCATTGGCTTTTTTTTTCCCCTACTTTTTTTCTTACTATTTGGATCTCATAAGCGCAAACATATTTAAACTTGGAAGATACTTCAGACAGTTTTGCAGGTAGTAAAAATGAATTAATTTAAATGTTAAAAGCTGGATATGTTATCCTGTTACCAATCTTCTTAGTGTAAAATATGAATTGCTAAATTTCTACGTGGTATTAGAAACTGCAGTATACGTAAGGTTATTCCTGCCCAAAGGGAGCCATAAAAAACTTGAATTTCCTGGATTAAGCATGTGTATTGACAAGAGATTTGGACATTCACCTTCCTTATGTGATGAATCACAGAGGATTTCTTTTAAAAATGATCACAGTTTATTTCGCAAAACTGAAGATCTGGTTTTGAAGCACGAAGAAAACTGACAGCAAAAAGGTAACGTCAGAAAAAATAAGAAAAAATGATTGATCTGCTAGCTATAAGGACAGTTTAGTCTTACATAAGAAATAGAAATTTGTGATACATGTGCTTTCTGCTTGTCGGCATGCAGAGATTCTCAGTAGTTCCCCTCTAACCCAGGAAATCTGCAGTCTGGATATGACAGCAGGCATGGACCTACTGTGAGAGAAACAAACCTCTCTCAGTTCCTTAATTTTCTTTGCTGTATAAAAATTTATTCATTTTTTTCTGGAAGCAAAATGCCAATACAGGAAATAACAAAAATTGCCAAAGAAGTTGAAGATGCTGATGAAATATTTCAAATTGATATTTTAAAACTACTATCAAATTTTGCCAGCAGTGTGACTGTCAAAGAAATGAAAAGACTTGAGGCGAGTGGGTGGAGTGTTTTCAAGAGATGATAAACAGATGGGCACAACAAACCTTGCTGTTGAGAAAGAAACTGAACCTTGAGATGTGAATCTTTTGAAAGAGGAGAGTGGAGAAACAAACAAAAAAACTTTGGAACTGCAAATCAAGGTTATATCAACAAGGGAAACTTTGAAATTCTATGAGATTAATAGAATTATTGAATTTAGGATACTGTAAGAGGAGGGTGAGTCTATAGGAGAACAGCATACTGTAAAAGAGGAAATGAATGCTAACAAACATTAATAGAGCTCTTTAGATATGGCAGAAGAAAATGTACATTGTGTTAACAAATAATGAGACTGAATGCGGAACAGGAATGATTTTGGTTTTGATTCAGAAGATTGTCTAATTTCCACGCTGCTGATAATCGTTTTGGAAAAGCATTCAATGGGAAAAAACACTGTCCTAAACTTCCGAAGTTTTAAGAGGTAATTTGAGTGTCTGCTATGATTTGGTATTTTAGAGTCAGTTTGTCAGAAAAAGCAAGCATCATCTAGATTTATTTTTATGCAGCATGCACAGCTTCAGGATGTCATTTCAAAGACTCTGTGTTGATATTAAACATTAAAGGCATTCTGTGGTAGATTTTCTCAAAGAACCGGCTCTGCTGTAGAAAGCAACCCCTCTCTGTAGCAAATCATTAGCTATGAGGAAAAGTATAATGTTTTACTAGGAAGTTGTGTTCTTAAAGTAGTAGATACTGTTATTTATTAACGCGTTTTATGAATGAATGAACTGTCCTAGTCTGGCTATTGGGGGAAATGAAAAACACTGAGGTCGTGGCTTTTCCCTCTTTTCTCCTTTTTAAGCTGTTTTTCTCCTTGTACAGGAAAAGGACCAGCGCAGCCTAGATATCAATACTGCCAAATGTATGCTGGGGCTTCTTTTAGGAAAAACATGGTCTCTTTTTCCAGTATTTCACCAGTTTCTAGAGGTATGAAATTCTAAAGGAAATTGTATTTTTTCTCTCTGATTTGTGTTTGTAATGAAACATGCAGTAAACAACTAAGTGTTGGTGGTTATATCAAAAATTTATCCTGGTTTGGATTATGCTTAACCCCAAAACTGCAGTTGTACTGCTGTCTTCCCTTCCTGTTTACAAAATCCCTCTGCAGTTAATATTTAGTTAACTAAGGAGAAATTATAGAATGTGGCTCTCAATTGCATACAGGCTGTCACTTAATATACACTTGTTCACTAGAAGGAGTCTTAACTAGAAACAGGAATTACTCAAGACTAATTTGACTACTTAGTGGTGTGTTTAATCCTTGTTTGATTTTTTTTTTAAAGTTGTAATTCAACACAAACCTTAACTTTCTATAAGAATGTCTGTGGGAGTATAAAAGCGTTTTAGTAACTTATGTTTCTTGCTTTAAGCAGCAATCAAAATACAAAGTTATCAATAAGGACCAATGGTGTAACGTGCTTGAATTCAGCAGAACAATTAACCTTGACCTCAGTAATTATGATGAAGATGGAGCCTGTAAGTACCGCTATACATAGGTATTTTAAAATAATTTACTTCTGAATTCAGTCCTTCTGTGTCCTCTTACAAAATTTTGTAAAATACAGTTATTTGCTCTCTCTCCAGGGCCTGTGTTGTTGGATGAGTTTGTGGAATGGTATAAAGGAAAACAGATGACATAGGAGTTGAACTATGCACAGCCACTCAAGAGTCACTGTTACCACAGTTATGTCAACCATTAGCCATAAACTGCTGTTYGTATGAAAGTGCATGCTGCTTCTCTTGCACTGCATCCCTCTTGCAGGGAACTTTTGGTGTTTGCTATTTAACAAGCCAGCTCTGCTTGCTGTGTAGCATTGTTCTCTTTGAAGGCTGCTTTGCATTCTGTAYTTACACTACAAAATAGTGAACTTGCCAGCGTCTTCACTGTGATTATGTGTATATTGCTGTCTAAATTTTGTATATGTGTATAAAAAAAAGCTTCACCTAGGGATTATTTCTGCAGAAATGTATTGTAAAAATAATTTTGTGGCATATTTCTAATCACTTACATGTTCGTTGAAACCTTAGTTATTTTTTATTTTGGTCTCAAATGTAGCATTTCTGAAAACGAGATGGACAGATTGCTTGGACAGAGTTTCCATGAAGAACTATTGTCAGTTTTAATGTTACTGTTTGAGATGCCAATTTCTGGAGTGACAAGAAATGCTGTGACTTTGTTTAGGGGAATTCACCAAACATGACCTTTTGCTTAACAGGAATGAAACATCAGTGTCTTAAAAGGAAAAAAAWATATATATTATATATATACACACGTGCATATATATATATAAAAACACTGTAATAGTTATACATGCCACAGATGATTTCTATTTGAAGAAGAAAGTACTGACTTTTTAATGTTAAAACTGCAGTAGTTTCATTACAGGTACAAGTGAACAAATTAAAGTACCTTTTAAAAATGGATTTTAGACTTTTGTAAATTCCCTTTGGCATATTTCTTTTAAACTTTGTTGTACTACGTGTTTGGACTATGTTGTGATCTGGTGAAATTAAAAAGTTTTATCTAAAATTAGTGGTTGGGGGAATAAAGTCTGCTCTTCCCCACCTATGATTAGTATAGGTTGGGATCTTTCTTTGTAGTGTTAGTCATTCCCTTGATCTRTAACTTGTTTTCTAAGTAATTAAAAATACTCTATTAGTAACCCTTTCAGGTTGGGGACTGGAATTTCCTAGCAGCATGTCCATTGCAGGCAGTGAGCACATTAAACACCAGCATTAAATGACAGTACGTTCTAGTAGGGGCCACTTCTTGTTTCATACATTTATTTGTTTAGCACAGTGTTAGTGGTTATTTGGGGAAAATGAGTGAATGGGAAGGTGCAAGTTCTGTATTTGTCATGTTGGATTTGCCGTATGTGTTCTTATTAAATAACATTGCTGTTGATATTTTTAGGTTCTTGAAGTATCTGGTGCTATTAAACTTTGATCCCTGAGGATTTGTAAAATGTTCTATGCCGTTTCATGGAACGCTTAACAAAAAGGGGCCGGTGAATATTTTGGACTAAAGAATAATACTACTTTTCTGTAAAAATATTTTTAAAGGTATTGGCAGCAACTGGGAGGCAGATGGGGGAAGCGTTTTAGGTTGGATGTGAAGTTTTCAGTTGCACTGAAGGCCCTGTTCTGCTATCCCTGAAGTCGGGAGCTGTCGCTGACCTGACTGCTTTCAGGATTAAGCCTGCTTTGTCAAAGGAACCATAGCTTGCTTCCCAAGACCAAGAGGACGGAATTCACTTGCTACTGCTGGTCAGTTTATATTCACATTTTTCTCCCTTTTTTCTCTCTGCCTTCTTCCTCTTACAAATTTAGCTGCCAAAGAAAGTTTTGTGTGTTTGTGTATTTGCTTAAATATGCCTTTGCCTATACAAAATCTAAAGTCCTGTGCTGTTAAGAAAATACTTCTTTTCCCCATGAAAGAGTCATGTTTGAGTCTCTGTGACACTAAATAAGTAGCATTCTTTAATAGTGGCAAAACATACAAAATCATGGCTTTTTCACATACTGAATTGCTTAACATAATTACTTGATGCCAATTTGCACAATATTTGAATTCAGTGGAGTGTGGTATTTAATGTTTACAATTAGTGTTTACTAAAACACACRCATTTAAGATTTCTAATGTAAATGTGTATATTACTATAGTATAATTGCAAAGAAGAAAAAGTTGGAGCTGCTAGTTTAGTTCTTAATTGTGGTTGCTAAAATAGTAAGTGAAATACTGCAAGTATTCTTGTATGTTTAGGTAATAACTCTAGAAAATGGTTTAGCACAAATTGGTATGAATACTGCTAAAGTACAAGGCTGGTTAYGTAAGGTGCTTTATATGTAACAAATAATTTGGCTTCCAATAGTGGAAGCAAGAGCCAAAGACACTTTTCATCTCTTACTGGTATCGGTGTAACTTTCATGTAACAAGGTCAACAGAAATCTGTTCAGTTCAAGCATGTGTCTTTTTACACGTTTTTGTAAATACAAAAAAAGCAGAATACAAAATTAAAAACAAAAGAAAAAAATCCGATGGTGTAGATTAACATATTCTTCAATATTTCTTATGTATAATGAGCTAGGAACGAGAGCAAGGAATAATGTGTTTGAATATGGATACTGCAGATGTTCCSTGCCAGTTKTAAGCAAGATGAATCTGTGTTCTTCAGTAGGTTTAACATATACATCTTCAATTACAGGTGATTGATGTATTTACTGAAATTTATAGTGGTCAAAATGAATTAAAGCTGACCCGCATAGCTGCAGCTTTCATACATTATCTGTCCTTTTGTGCTAGATCTGCTGACAAGCAGAGGGACCTGACCTTAATGTTTCCAGCTCTTGTGCTTTGGAGAGAAGTTCTCTCTACTTTTTGCTTTAGGGGTACTTATTGAAGCTACTTAATTTACYTTATACTTAAGGCAAGTTTGGTATTTGCTCTTTTGTTTCTTAGCTTTGTCATCAAATAGTTGCTCTATTTCTTGCTTTTGTGTTAAAAAGTTGACACACAGAATATTTGTACCTGAAYAGGATACTGAAAGGTCATTGTGACAGAAGAAATATTAGTTTATGCTGTTTTTTTAATGTGTAAAATGTCTGTCCTTATAGCAGAAACTTAATGGCCTATGTGTAATTCATGCTTGATATTTAGGAAATTGTAAGGTGCAAAGGCAGCTAGTGAAAGAAAAATATCATCTGGATGCCGCAGTAGTGAATTYTTTAAATTGATAAGTGACAGACATTTAGAACTCTCTATGAATAGAATAATAATAGGAAATATTAATTACAGAAACATCCCAGAATTAAGTTTCCATATATTTCTCTTTACAGGAGCATAAAGTTTTTTTTAATGCTAATTTGATACTATATTACTATGTTCCTCCTGCTTCTTTCTTTGCCAGCCCTCCCTAAGGAAGGCTTTTTGAGGAAGATGGAATTTATTGGAATGCTGTATGTACTACTTAATTTCCAGTAAGAGCCTATATTAAGGTTACCTTTACTGCAATAACTACAATAAATGTCTGGATTGCCCTTGTGTGGCCTTTTTAAACTTTTATAGGGGACTGGAGGCATCTCCCGTTGCATCGCAAATACAGACATTTTATTTCACATAGGCAGATAGGCTTGCACAATCCAAAGGAGCTTTAGCTTGTTACTATTTGCTTAGCATTCACTGGGTACATTTCTTGGAGGTCAAGTAACAGCCATGAGTTTTGTTAACGTCTTTCAGGGTTTCTGTTGATCCCTGGTCACAAATCTAACAAATTGTTAAATACTTCTGGAATTTGTAGACAGCTTGAAAGGTTAGCTTGTGCCCTGTTTTTAATTATAACTGTTAAAATACCTCTGTAGGCCTTATCTTTTATCTTTTTGTATTGTTATAAAAGTGTATAGGATCCATCCACCAACTAAGTACAGTCTGTAACTGAGACCAAAATGTGGAGCGTTTTGTGTGTGTGTATTGTCACAAAACGGTTTGTTCGGAGGCTGCTGTTGCAGGAAGAGCAGTTCACCTGCAGCTGTGAACGCCGCGTCTCAGCTGTGTGCATGTTGTGTACGTAAGGTCCGCTGAGCTCCTGTGACTCGCGGGCTGACTGAAATACTGTTTTGCCACCCAACACGAATCATCACGAGTTCCTTTTGGGGACTTTTGCTGGTGTTGATGTAAAGGGATATCCCTCAAATAAACAGCGTTTGTGATGGTTTCTGAAACTTGACTTTAGAACTTTCTGTGGTTCATGCCTTAGAAATTGTCCTGTGAATACACTTCACAGGTCAGAGAGAATTGCTATATCAGCTGGCAAGTTTAGTCGTGTGTGTATGTGTTTTTTGTCTACAATGCCTATATAAAAAGCATCTGTGTAATCCACATTTTTGTATTCTTAAGATATGCTGAATTTTAATGTTTAGTCTACCTTTGTCACTCTAGTAGCAGAGAACTTCCATGTGCTGCAGAGTTTTGCTAAAAGAAAATGTACAGTCTTTTGATTCTTAGATTGCTAATACTAAAGCAAGTGAGTATTGAAAACGTTGGAAATGTTGCGTTTCAAATGCTATGTTTCAAATACAGTGTGTGTGTCTGAAACACTTATGCAAAAGCTTTTTTTAATGTAGAGTCAACTTTACCAGGAACGTATCTTCAGATGGGATTTTACAGCAAGAAAGACTCATCTCTTAAAGCATATGTAAAGAAGATTCTGCAAATCTTTAGACTGTAGTATTGGAAGAGAAGACAGGTGGTCTTGTGTTAAATTCTGGTAGCATTGAATGTGGTAATATTTTGCTTTGGGCTGTTTTTGACCTCAAATCCTTCTCTTCTTAACAGAACTAACTTTTCAGTTATATGACGTGTAATGGGCTGTTTGGTTTACCTTCATGAAGCAAAAGTAGTTGTATCTTGAAAGAGCTGCCAGCAGTGTAACATGAGTTGTGACCTCACTGCCTCTGATATTCTCACAACTTTGTATTCACAACTTCAAAGGAGCTATTAGTTGTTCTTACTACTTAACACTGTTTTCAAAATTGTAGATTTTTGAGTTGAAAACTCAAAACTAAAACACTGCAAAGAGTTTAAAAAAAAATAAGCAGTTCTTATTCTTTTTCCCTTTCTGCTATTTGAGCGACTGGCTCTAAGGCTTTCCATGTAGGCTGTTGCACTGCCTGTTCCAGAGACACAGCCCTGCCTTTGCATTTATTGCTGATGGAGTCTGGGCTGGTCTTCAGCAGTTCTCAGAACGTACGTGTCGCTTGTGTTAGTCATAGGTCAGTCTTCTCTGCACAAGGATGTTTGTATCGCTCCYCAAATGGATTGGGGTGTTAGTTATGAGGAGATTAAGTGTGAATAGCTTCATATTTAAGGATTGTTYATGAGCCAGTTCTCAGCATGCTTTGGAACGACTGGCATGCTTTGTGCCTAGAATATACAACCTGATAATTAGCAAAATGTCAAATGTGATGGAAAGCAAGAACTTTGTTATGCTGTCTTTACTGTCTTTACTTGAGAACTTAAGTTCTCAATCTGTTCTTAAGATTTTAGTGTGGTTTTATTTTTTTGGCTTGTTTGTTTGTGTTAAACCTGTTCAGTACAACTGTGGTGTTTCCAGCCCTGAGCTCAGCGTTCTGCTGCCTGGCAAGAAGAGTATGTCAGGACTTCTCCTAGCAGCCTGCCAGCTGTGCCCTCGATCTTCACTGAAGAGTGCAGTGCAGCACACGCTCRCTCAGCCTGCTCCTTAAGAAGCCTCTTCGATGACACAAACTGTTTATCCACTATCAACCGTGATAAWAACTAGAGCCTTGTCTAAACAGGAGTTTTGCTGCCTGGCATTCAGTTTCTCTGGAGCAGATGCAGTTGTACCTCCCTGCAAGYATAAATACTATATGGGTTGTATGTGTGTCTCCATAGTGTGTATATTTGTTCCAGGATGTTTGCAGCTGGTTTTGAATGGTGTGGGYACTTGCAAATTCTCTGCAGCTGAATCAGCTAAATGAATTGTTTTCAGGACAGAAAATAGAGCTGAATTGTAATCAGCTGAAATATAAAGAAAAATGACCATGGGTAAAGTCTCGAAGAGGTTCAGTGAGCAGGGAGACCGCGTAGCTGTTGGGTACAGCAGCGCTTGGAGAACTAAGATGATCAGAAAGGACTGGATGCCTGAAGGATGCTGTTGGTTGGGAGTGACAGAAAATGTAAAAGATTTTGTCTTATTTCCAGAAATGATTGCTAATGATGTGACAAATGAGTATGAAGAAAAAAATGGTTATGTGAATTTGAGTGAATGTACGATAAGAAGAGTGTTTGGAATGATCAATGACAAAAGAATAGCACAAAGCATGTGAAAATAAGTTTCAGACAGAACATCAATGTATTTTGATACTTTGATACAAATTCTTTGTCATGTTAAAAAAATAACGAAGGAGCAAATTTCTGTCTCTGTAGATATGATAAAACATTTTTGTGGAACTTCTTGTCATGAAGGGCTCTCAAATWCATTGTATATCTCAGAAGTCTTGTACATATTTCCACTGAGGTCTGTGGTGGTAGAAAAAAAAGGTAGTTTTCCAATGTTGTTATTTTAAACATGTTCTGAACAGTAGTATAAGCAAATGACAAAACATTGCTGTTTATTAGTTGGCAGAGCTACTCAGGTACATTCTTTATTCCATTGTGTGTGAAATTAACTTACGCATTCAGATTTCTAAAGTTCTTAGCAGCCAGTTCAGCCAAACATTGAACCCGGAGAGGTCTGTCGAAGCAGTGCCTGAAAACTCAGGTGTGCCATGAAGAGCACATCCCAACTGTTCTGATGTATTGTCTTTTTAAAGGTGTTTTGACTACAGTTATCTTCTGTGTACAGTGAGCTGTACTGGCTGTACTGAAAGCTGCTTATGGATGTTAAGAGCAGTGGTGGTGGGGACACGCTCCTCTTGCTGTTTCTGCTCTGAGGAGTTACTTGGCTGATCTGGTGAGGAATTAGTCTGAAACTTGTGCCATTCTCTGCTTCTAGATCGCCTCAAATAATGTTGTTTCTGTACTACAAAGTGATGTGTTTGGTGCTGCAGACTAGCAGCCTTAGCATTCAGCAGAGGCTAAGGTATTACATGGATATTGAGGCTGCGTGGGGATTAGGAGAGAGAGAAGTAAGAGTGGAAAGGGATATGCTGTTTACAGGTGCATACAAACAGGGAATGAGTTGGAGAAAGACCGTTTTATTTTACAGTTGCTGTCTTTCTGATTTAACGCTTGTGAGCATGCAGTGATTTTGCAGGTTTGAATGTTTTGTCCTCTAGTTCTTCTCTACTCAGTCTGAGTGGACAATTACTAGTGTACTACTTATGTTTGAAAAGCAAATCAAAATCAAACCTCTGAACTGATGCGTAATTTGGTGGTAAATTGCCACTTTCCTCAAGAGGTGAGTTCATCCTTGTTTCCTGAGCGAAGGACTAGACTAGGAAGGAAGGAAACTGGTACCTGTGCTTTTAACAGCTTTTCCATCAGCTCTGATACCACTGAGTACTGGAGCAAAAACACCACAGATCTTCCCAAGGACTAATGGGGAAGTGCAGATGACAGCAGGTTCATGGCTTGTAACCGAATTATRGATGTTCCTGAATTATTTACAAATACTGCAGTGGCCCCAATCAAATCTGTGTAGCACTTAACCAAAAGTGCCATATTGGAGACTCTGAAAAATTCAATCAGCCATGTTAATTAAAAGTATGTATTTGCCTTAAGTGTTACAAATTCTCTCAAAAAGGGGCATCAGGACTGGTACCAGTGAGGCAGTGTGTGTTGGTTTTTTTTTTTTTTTTTTGGGGGGGGGGGGGGGGGGGGATCACCTTTGAAATACGGAAAGTAGGTCTGAACAATTAATGGCATTTTGCAGTGTATTTTTGTCTTCCTACTTTGTCATACTTTGCCCTTAAAACTCTTGCRGACTTTATCTTGTTTATCTATCTTCACAAAACTGGGAATTTGGAAACTTCTAATCCACAAATTTGTTTCAAGAGCAGAAGGTAGTCACAGATTTGACTGTACCATTTGACTRTATAGGAGTGATTCCCATAGGAAGTGCAAGATAATAGTGATAAGAATTCAGCAGTGTAACATTTATTTTGGACAAAGAGAAATAAGAGCGCATATCAGAGACTGTTTCCAAAGAAGATTAACATCTCACTACCAACATATAAAACTATTAATGTGTAAGGTTTATTGCAATTATACATAGTTTACTCACTCTGACTATGCTACAGATTTTCCTTCTTTTACAAGTGCCATTCTGAATACAAATCCCTGGCTTTTGGTTTATGTGTATGCCAATGTGTGTATAGACCTGCAATATCTTTTGGCTTTATGGTACCTATGTGTTTCCAAGCTGGATGCCTGAACTAAATGGATCTAGACCTCAGAGCATTAGCAGGCAGCTGCATTCACCTCATCAATACCTAGTTCCATAACTTCTTTTTCTGATGCTAAAAGTACATTATTATACTGGGTGGGAATAAAAACAAATCAAAAAAGAACAAAMCTCCCTGGTATTGAGCAGTTACCAGGAGCGACAGAACTTCATTTTGAGATCCAGTCATTTTTGTTCCTGCTCTTTGACACTATCATTGTGGGAGTCCTGGAGGTTTTTGCATTTTTAAACTTCACTTATTGAAGTTTGATCTGCTTTGCGCAAGACATTAACAAATCCATCAAAGGCTCTTTTCTTCTTAACAAAAAACAGACCCTGACTTAAATTGGTCTTATTTTTTTGATCGAGGTTTTCACTAGGATTTTGGAGATTGACAACCATTGTAGGATAGTTTTCCGGTGCTGTCCAAGTGGTGTCGTCCTCTGTATCACTGGAATCGGTCTTTCTGGAGTCTCTCTTTCCTCTAGTCTGTGGGAATGGCAATGAACTGTATTGTATATTTGCAATGAAAGACCTTTGTGGGAGTGGTGAGGAATATGCATTTTCCTCACTCTGATCCCACTGGGAATAATTGTGTGTGCTGAAGACGGATTGCGCTTTGCCAGAGCAGTCAGGATGATGCGAAGCTGCCGTCATGTTGTGGGACTGCGTTTCTGGAGGCAGGTCAGAGCTGGTGCCATCCTGCACTTCCGTGTGCTCCTCGTGTTCACCTTTAGTAAGGTCTTTTTGCATGGTYTGTGCATTAGGTGCTTCCACTTGCTTCCCCTGGGGTACGGAGTCATCTATGTCAGGAATAACCATAATGCGCCCTTCACCTGTGCTTTGAGTCGGAGGTTGAAGAGTTGATTCATCGGTGGCTGTGTTGGAAGACTTTCTAACAACCTGACCGGAACCAAAGTCATCGGGTGCAAATGTAAAATGAACCTTCTCGGGTGTCCTCATGTGTCTTCTTAACGTAATATCCTCTTCGCTATTATCCTCTTCAGAGGAACTCCGCTCTGTGCTCTCAGCACTGATGTCTGCTGCATCTTCCTCCTGCTCCGTGGGCCTGAACCGCTGAAAGTGCTGAGCTTGAATGGAAAACTGGGACGGTGACAAGTCGGCCTCTTTGGCAGGAGCATCCTCTGTGTGTGAGGCAGACGTGGGAGAGCGTTTTGAGGAAGCTGACGTATCATTAGAACTTGTACTGTGTTTGCTTGTAGAACCAGAAATGAAGTTTTGAATTGGTGACTCTGGATGGGTAGAACTCTTAAACATACCAGGAGCTTTTTGGTGAGAGAAAATGATTGTGTTCGAATCAGACTCATGGTCGCTGTGCTTGTCAGTGTAAGGCGATTCTGTTTGAGACGTGCTGCTGTCTGATCCATAACTGGCAGTGATGTCGGAATCATCCTCATCCGTGTTCTCGCCTTTCCCAAAGGGCTGATGTTCAGCAGCCGGGCTGGGAGGCTCGGCCGCTGCTGAGGACCTCTCTGTTTCGTTGTTTGCATCGGCTTTTTCTAGCGATGACTGACAGCCTGAGAGGGTGTTGCTTGGAGGTTGTCCCAGCTCAACATCTGATAAAGAGCTACAGTCGCTCATTGTAAATGGGACCCCTTCGTCTGAAGAACTGTCCCCAAAGAGGTCTGCCAGATCCTCCTGTTTGGTAGCACCTCCTCGCTTGTAATATTCTAGATCAGAATTGTCACTTGCAAGGTAGGCACTTAAATCCTCACGATTTATATGTCTCTGGCAACTGTTYGGTAAAATAAAATCTCCTGCATCACTGATTTTATCCTTTCTGTTATTTAGACCAAGTTGTGTTTTGGGTAGAACTACTGAAGTGCTTCGGGACTCGGTATCGGAGATCACCTCTTTCCATTTGGGAGAATCTACCGTAGCCTCTGTAATTTCAGACTGCAGATGAGACTTGTTGGTTATCTCTGTGTTCCTGGGGTTTTGAGCATTTATATGGGTTTGCCTTCCACGAAATGGAAGGGCGGTCTCTCTTGCGAAGGGTAAATCTGAATGTGAAGGCTCAACGTGAGCTGAGTACGAGTCAGCATTCCGTCTGCCAGGTGTGGGAGGGAAGCTGCTCCTCTCCAAGGCTTCACTATTTGCATAGTTTGAATCTTCATGTAACGAAATGTCCTGGCGTGTCAGGTTTCGTGGTGCTATCTCATGACTGTCTCCATAGTACATCTCAACAGAAGATTGTGGATTAACACTTATATAATGGTTGTTCCTGGCGGTAGCTGCTTTGCTGTTGGCAAACACTGATTTGTGCTTTGCTTTGGTCTCATCAGTGCATGGCTTCTGGTCCTCTTCCCCAGTATTGGGTGCCCCTGTGTTACTATAAATGACACTTTCATGCAAGCTAGAGGTTTGTGTAGGAAAAAAGCGTGTGTTTTTTGGAGAATCTTCATCACAGATGAACAGATTGCTCCGTGTGTTTGTTGGGATGCTTGCAGTGCACTCTCTGCCCAGAGTTTCGTTGGAGAAGGCTTCGTTGGAATAAACATGCTGGGAAGCTGAGCGCTCGCTTCCGCGCATGCGGCTCCACAGCTTCCCAAGGTAGGGCCTGGCGAAGGCGCCCAGGCAAAAGGCCACCACAAACGTCACCAGCACCGACAGGCAGGTCGCCAGCACAAGGTCTTGCCTCGTCGTTCCTTGCCTAAAAACAGTGGTAGTATCCCGGGTTTTTCTAACCAAAGACCTTGAAAGCYTTTCCTCTACCTGTATATCGTAGATGAGAAGTTTCTTTCTTGTTGTATTAAAAAAAATACACGTATAAAGTCCTTCAGCAGTTCTGTCAGCRTTGTGTATTGCTAAATTACTCTCTTTCTCCAGTGTCATGGGAGGAAGAGGAGCATCTCTTGAAATTCTGCCTACAGGKGTCCACCAAAAGACCCCATTACCTGAAATAAAAGAAAACAAAGTAAGTCTACTTTGAAAGTAGAGAAGAAGATTGAGAGGCAGTTTATTTCTATAAAGACACTCTATGAACATCTTTGAGACATCTAACATTGTTCTTATGAAATGTTTTTAATCTATGCATAATAACTAGCTCTTGAGCCAAGTATCTGGTAATCATCTCACTTTTGCTCTGCACAGAGCATGCAGCACATTTTCTATATCTAAATAATGTTTTCTGTATCTGAATATTATTTAGATAGAAATAGAAAGAATAGAAAATATTATTTTTTCATTCTATTTTGCTATCCCTATTAGAAACACTGTTGCATCCCTTACCATTTTTCTGTATGCCTCAGCGTAACTGCCCCTTGGCTATTAATCACACTAGTAAGAAAAAATGCCCAATTGTCTCTTGTATCCAAGCATTAATGGATTTATAACACTTCTTTAAACTTATTTGTAAGTTTAAACTTATTTTAAGCATTGCTTAAAAAAAGAAAAGTCTTACCAGAAGACTAAGATATTTTTGGGAAAATTCACTTTTCAGAATTCTAACTGATATAATACTTTCTAAGCAAATAATTTGCCTGGTTAGATTGTTTCTCCATTCTTTTTGAACCAATTTCTTCTGTGGGCATTTGAATTTTAGCAGTGTGTGGCTGGAGTCCATTGTACATACCCCTTGTGTTATCCAAGTGGCAGTTTAGCACAGATGTCTTTCCCGTTGGGATTACAGTTGTTTTAAATGAAACACTGTCATTGCAGTTTAAATTAAAACTTGAAAGAGACAGAAGCTTCCATAAGACGTTGACAGATTTATTGTGTGAAATACTCCATCTTTTCCTCGTTGAGTCAAGAAGAAAATGAATTAAATATTTGAAAGTATTTAGATTGCAGTTGCATGTGCAGGGATTATTTGTTGAATCCACTCCAAGTTGAAATATGTTCAAGTTGTTGAATATCTGTGGTGGGAGTGTTGTCAGAGCATTTCCACGAAGATCCACAACCTGTTTGGAAATAAATCATTCAAAAATAGTTAAGTTTAGAATGGAATCTGAGCTGGTGCATTGTCAACATTAACTGCTTAGTGTAGTGGGCATTTCTAAAGAAATGAGAACAGAACAGCTGCTTAAAATTTAAATATTGGGCTAAGCTTTTTGAGAGGTGTGCTGTATTTAGCTCTCATTGTTGAATAGTTTTGTGTGTGTGACTGGACTATCACAGGTTCCCATCATTGCCATCCCTTGGGATCATTGCCATCCCAAGAGGGAGCGACTCTTCAGTAAGGCCCTTGGGTGCAGCAGAGGTTTCTCTTCATGAAATGATGCAAAAGGGATGAGTCCTGAAGATGCCTTGTGCTTTCTGGTGGCTCTGTGATCGCAGACGCGGCCTCTGGGCCACRTTTCCCCTGAAGCCCCTGGAATTCTCTCTCGTCTCCACTGAGCGGCAGGTGACGGGGATCTGTGGTGCCACTTTAGGCTTTGAGGCTTCTTGGATGGTATGGAGGGGAAACGTATGTGTGTGTATGTGCATGTGCAGAGGGAACGGGGGACAACAGGGCTTGTGCTTGGGTAAGGAGGCAGCGTGGGGCAGCGCGGCCCCTGCCCCGGTGCACGTCCCTGCCGTCCCCATGGCCCCTGCCTTCGCACAGCCCYGCTTGCTGCCAAAGGGTGCTGGCGTTTTGATTTAACCTGTTTGTGTGGCAGAGGAATGTGGTAACACTATTCTGTGCACACAAAAATACGTATTTTGGATTGTAAAATCGGAAGAAACGGTCTCGTTAGTATTTTAATCCCCTCCAGTAGGTGTCAGAGGAGGATAATGCTTTAATACTTCGTGGGAAAATGACATGATGCRTACATATGTGTGCATATGATGTATACATATACATAACACTGAAATGACTGAGGGACAATTTATGCTTGGCTGAAGAATGAAGGATGAGTAGATAAAAGTGCGTATTTGATTAAAGCACTTAAGTGTATTCCTAAAATTAATGCTTTTCTGCTTGAGACCCTCTTTCAACTCGCAGAAAATAGTCTGTCCTAGACATCTTCCATACTGGCTTGGACATGTTTCTGGGTGTATCTTGTTCTTCTCTCCACAGGGCAGATGTTGAAAAGTCTGCAGTGCGCGGTGTAGCGTAGTGTGGTGAAGGCAGTTGAGATGCTGGTGGCAGCAGCAGCATCTTCGGGAGTTTATCTGTCTTGCCAGAAAGCAGCTTGCAGCATAAATGCCTCTTTATTTGCAAAACCTAGCAGGAAAATAACGCTGCTGTGCACAAATTAAATAGTAGAAAGCATGGTGTTTGGATGGATAAATAGATCAATGTTGCGACCTTTGCTAAAGGAAGGATCCTGCACGAGGTGAAATTATCGATTAAAATTAAGTTCCATCCTGTAGTGGATCCACAGSCAGTAAACATCAGTTTTGGAGATGGTGCCATAGATGAATGTTTTTATTTTAAGTATGTATTTTGTATGGTTTGGGAGTGTGGGTGTTTATGTGTTAAGGACAAATATATGTTCTGTACAAATAAAAATTATTTGCATCACTAGCTTTAACATACTAGTACAACTACAAAAAAAAAAACCCTCATATCTTTGTTGAATAGCTGATAACTGGTATCTTGAACACAGATTAATATAAAACATGTAAAACAATATTACAATTGTTTCTAACCTGTAAATTGTTTAGATCCTTGAAAGCTTCTGGGTGAATTTTAGTTATCTTGTTGTCTTGTAAGTAGATATTCCTCAGTTGTGAACAGTTTTGAAAGTCATTCGCATCAATTTGCAGTATGTCATTGGATGCCAAGTGGACAGTTTGTAAAGACTGCAACATCCCTAGTCCTGAGGGAAACAAAATTGTTTGACACTTTATATTCTTATTTTTTTCATGCATCAGGCAGCTTTTAAGAACTTCTTTGGTGTGGTATTTCTTCAGTTATTGTCTATGGCAGCCTGTGGCTGCAGGCTGTGATTTATTATGCCTTTTTTATGCAATGCTGTTACCATTTTAAAAGTTGTATAGCATCAGCAACAGGCGCTTCAGTGCATGTACAAGTCAGTGCGTGCTTTCTGAAACTCGCGTATCCATGAAGGCAGTAACATGAGCATGGCCTCTGTACCTCGAATGTGCCTCTTTGGAGAATTAGGGATGGGAAGGGAGGAGTGTGGAAAAGGGTGGAATATACCCCCCTTTTTAAAATCATAACATGTTAATGGTAAAAGGAAGGGAGAGAAGCAAAAAATGCTAAAACTTTTCCTGTTCTTTGCCATCTCCATGTGTGTTTTTCATACATAGAATTACTTGAACCATGTTCATACAACGTAAAGCTGACTGAAAGCTGCGACTTGTTTGTGTTGATTATGGCTGTGTGCCTGTGAAATATTAAACAGATCAGTTCAATTTCCAGTAATTCCCAGCGTTTCCGGGTAGGGACAGCGTTTGTCTTGCATGTGTGGCTGCTCTGAAACCCAAGGGTAGCTCATATTTCTAGGACGCTGTGCAGGGAGCCTTTATAACTCCCATTTGCAAATTCCAGTTTGAAGGCTGGCACCTGATTTTTGGCCTCACCACAATTCTGTAATCTCTCTCTCTCGTTCTCCTAACACTTTTTGCCCTTGGGTTTACGGGCAATGTTTTGGAGAATGAAAATAACATTCTGGACAACTACTTAAATAGTTGTATATAACTAAGTTGTAAATACAACTTGGCAGTATAGTAGCGTGAAGTGCAGCAATATGATTTGCTTTTAACATTTAGAAATTACTGGAATCTTGTACACTCAAGTGTAATCTTTCTGATCCAGTATGACATCCTATATATCCTATATACATTGTTATATAGCAAAACAATCAGTTTCTCATCAGTATATTTTATAATCTGTTTCTGTACTTTCCATAAGGAACCCTATAGGTGCCTACATAAACACCTAGCAAAATATGAAGCGTAGCAGCTTACTGCGTGCCAGAGTTATTTGGTATCAGAAAAGGGGGAAGAATGGACCTTCTGGAACTGTGGGGAGCTTCAGCTCTCTTTGAGATAAGCCTTTCTTTCCCCCCTGATGTTTATTAGGTTCGAGGCCAAAGAATATGATGATGTTATCGGAGGTTGGTAAAATTCAACAAGCAAATATGTGTGGGTTGCTCAAACTGCAGCTTTTGCTTTATTGGAGCATTTGATGAATCAGGCGAGTTGCCTGTTTCTGAGGACACAGGCTGCAGTGCACCGAGTCCAGCTCGGTGACCAGGAAATACCCCCTACAMGTCTGTAAGTTTATTGAAGAAAGTTTACTGAAGATTAATTCCCTCTCATTAATAGGTGTCACTTTGGGAATGTTCTCTGAAAACACTAATAAAAAGATAGCAGGATTTTTTTATTTTTTGGACAAAATGTTTTCCTGCCTTTGTGAAATATTGAAGTGGGAGCAACTTAGGAGTACTGACTTTCTTCTGAACAGGAGTATGAAATCCTTTATCTATCTTTTTTTTAATTATAAGATTTACAATAGAGACTTGGAGGCTGGTGTTTTAATTCTAAATAATTCTTCTAAATATCTAATAAGTATCATATATAATATGGTGTCTAATTCTAAATATGTATCTAAATACATATTCTAAATATATATAAATATTCTAAATATGTATTCCAAATATCTAAATATTTTTACTTCCCTATGAAACAAGGGAAAATACTTCCTTGCTGCTGACAGGATGATTTTATTATTGTTTGACTGTCTCTAAGGCAACATAATTACAAACATTATACCCTTTTTTTGAAATACATTTGCACTCAAGTGGAACCTGCACCCCTCCCGAGCACAGCTAACTGCAGTGGTTCTGCACTGAGGATGGATGCCGGTGGATGCAGCTGCGTGTAAAAGGCCCTGCTCTCAGGGCATTGCCGACGGGTTTGGGAGCACTTACCCTGGGGAACGGAGCCAAGGCTGTTCCTCTGGAGTGCCAGCGCTCTCAGGGAGGGCAGGAGCGGCCTGGCGTCTCCCTGCTCCGCGGGCGCTGCCGCGGGGAGGCCCAGCGGGAGGGCGCTCAGCGCGTTGCCGTCGAGGTTCAGAGTTTCTAAGGAAGGCAGATTCCTGAAAGCCACGGCGAAGGAGAGCTCCGAAATGAGGTTGTTGCTGAGGTTCAGGTGCTTCACCACCCACTCCTGCTTTCCGCCCGTTGTGCGCAGCAGCGTCCTGATGTTGTTGTGACTTAGATCAGCTGTTAGCACTGCTAGTGCTACATCTTCGGGAACAGCGGATATTCCAGCGAAGGAACAATTCACTATGAGATTCCCTTCCCACCGGCAGCCCGAATGATGAGAAGTATCAGAAGGGATCCGATGTGAGTCGGTTTCCGCAGATCCAGGAAGGATGAAGTAAAGGAGCACGGCTATGACGTGTAGGTGAAGGCTCTCCATTGTGCCCCTATGCAAGATGTCAAATTAAGGTAAGCTCAATGTAACTACAATCAAATACAAAGCAGAAGCACACTCAGAAACAAACAGCCAGCACCCAAACCACTGCCACTTTTCTGCCTTAAACACACACTTTGGGAGCCTGGGCTATTTTTTCAGAAAGCACRTTCAGAAATACCCACCACCCTCTGCTTATTTCCAGACCAATCCTAAATTTCTTACTTCTTCCTGTCGTTGCCTTGAGGACACTGTGTTGCAGGAACTCCAGAACTGAAAGTAATGGAGACTTCTGAACCAACTTCTGGTATCATTCACTATTATCAGTGAGCAAAGTCCACTGGTTGTACTGTATGACAAAGCTGCGGAATGGCGCATAGTTAATAACCATCTTCACCAGCAATAACATGACGTGTCTTTAATGAGATCACATTCTTGAAAAAARCACTTCTAAACACAGTTTCTTTTAGAATTTATTGTTCCATTTCAAAACAAATGTATGAGAATTTCAGAGCTTATTGAAACAACCCCCTCTTTTACAAATGCGGAGTTCTTCAGATGTACCTTAAAGTACTCAGTGCTGCACTTGAGGGCATCTGCAGGATCACACAGTGCATGTGGTAATAAATGTGTCACACAGTGCTTGAAACAAGTACAAGGAGAAAAAAAGCACAACAAGGGGCATGTGTGGCATCGACACTTCTTCATCTGTAGTGAAAAAATATGTTAATAATAGCCAACTGGTAACTAATTGGTACCTGCATGATTGGATTTGTTAGGTTTATGACTAAAAATCCACACTTAAAAAAACAATTCTCCAAACATACTTCTCAAACCGTAATTTAAAAGTAGCTTTGTGACACTTTTCCAGCTGTATTGCACAGAGTATTTTMATAGGAGTTTTGAAAATTACAGGTAAAGAATCCAATGGCAGCACACAGGCATCCCCGTATTCACCAGCCAAAAGCTGTACATAGTCTACTTGATCAAGGAAGTTTTTTTTTTATTTACCAAGATCTATTTCAGCTTCGAGGGTTCTGCCGATACTAATAGCAGTAAAAGAACAGAACTTCTAAAAACATTATGGATTGTTTCTTCCCCTTAATACTCTTTAGGATACCGGTCAGAGCAGGAGAGATGAATGCATGTATTACCATGATTAATACTAAGTGCAGTAAAGTTACACATGTACTGTGTAAAATGTGAGCACTTTTACTTGCTTACAGTACCTTTTGTTACMTTGAGAGCCAGGGCTAATTTGAACAAAAACAACTTAGCATGCAATCTTTATGCTCTGCCTTCACACAATTTTAATTACACCCTCCCCTCATGGGACTTTCTGTGGGGTGAAGGGCCTGACCTATAGATTCCCCCCCTCTAAAATSACTTCCACCTCTTTACCTCCTACTGCCTTCCAGTCACAGGCAGGAATTCAAACCGTAAATAGGAAGCCCTTTGCAGCAGGCACTGCCTTGTCCTCTGTGGAACTCTGCCTGCTTTGAGCTATAAAACAAGATTGTAATTTGCCTTCCCATAACAAGTGAAAAATTCAATTATGAAGTTAATATGTAACCTCTGCACAACTTCTGGGAAGCAAAGTATGTGTTTATCTGGAAAAACTTGTCAAGYGCTTCTCCTGTCACCTCTGCACCCTCCACGGTGGTTACTTGATGCTAGTGCAAAAAAACAAACAAACAAACAAAAAACCCAAACCCACCCTTCCACATGGGGGGAAGGGTGTATTCTTACAGTACACTGTTCTGTTTTTAGTACAAAACACCTTTTTAATTTATAAGGCTATTACAGTCTCTGTAAGGTAAGTACATCATACACCAAGTTTCCCTTTTGGTAAATTCAGATACATGTTAACTGTGGTGTTGTGGGATCCTATGTCATTACATTTAGATTTAGACCTGCACTTTTATTAAATTCAGAATGTAATTCTGAGCTTCAGTAATGCAGTGGTACCAATATTCATTAAAAAAATTTAAAAAAAAMCCCACAAATCTAATCTCACACTCTGCTGCTTTTAGCCATGCTGTGCTTTAACTTATCAGCTGCTAAAATAATGAATTAATATATTTGCATTAAAGCACTCAGGAAAACACTTTTCTTCTACATAATAAGCAAATTATCAGTACATTTTTTTAAATGTACTTTGAATATAAATAAACTTTATAAATACTTCACACACATCAAGCAAGTGTAGAATACCTGAACTGCTCAGACATAATGGAACTTGAGAAACATGTAATTAGTTTCCCCTCTTACCAGATTGAAAATTCAATTTTAATTTTGAAATTCTTACTGTACATCACTTTTTTTGCAAATATTATTCATGGTATTTTTTCTCTTATAGCTTATTGAGAGTCTAAGGCTGAAGTAAAGCAATATTTGAAAATTAATCTGTGCTTGTCTGCCTTAGAGAGAAATCTATCAACTTTTGGCAAGAGAGAGTAGAGGACATGAAGTTACCGCATCAAACAATGCRCCAACATTTCCTACTCAAGTACCTCAAATTGGAATTTTTGGAAGTGGGAGACAAGACTAAAAAACAATAAAAAGCTTTAGAGCCAACTGAAGGCAGGCAGTATCGTTTCAAAGATGAAGCTGCCTTTAACTATATTTACTGTTCCCAGTTCAGGCAGGTACTTCAGTGTGCATGTGCACTGAAACATGCTACAGCACCCAAATCAGAACAAGGACAGCCCTGCCGCTGGAAGGAACACTGCTAGGCATAACCTGTGCTTAAAGCAAGGCCGCAGACTCGGTGTTAGCATGAACCGCCGTCACCGCAGAGCAGCTGGGAGGCGGCAGGAGCGCGGGCGGCTCTGCGGTGTCGCTGCGCCCCTCAGCGCGCCGCTCCGCAGGGGTTGGCCGCCGTCTGGCAGCCCATGTTGTGCCCCGTCACCTGCACCTTGAAGAGGGTCCCGTCGGCGCACATGCACAGCTTGAAGCGCAGCCAGTTGCCGTTGCCGCCGTGCTCCCCGTGCGAGGAGCTGGGCAGCCGCGCCGGGCTCACCATCACCGTCCCGTTCAGCACGATGCTGCTCTCCTGGCGAGGGGGGGGAAGGGCACACGCGTGAGCAGGGCAGCCTGGCTCTGAAGGGGACAAGTTCAACCACTCAATCACTTGTCCACTAAATGGACAAGTTAAACCACTAAAATTTGGCTGTAGGACTCCAGAGAACACTGTCTTTAAATCTCTGTAAGGGAAGGCCTCGCTTTTAAGTTTAGTTTGTGACTAACATCCGCCGCTTTCGCCATTATAACCAGGAAAGGACTTTGGTATTCCAGAATATTCTGTTCTACTGAGACAGACCAATGTAGTACGATATGTAATTCTTCATCTTAGGGAGCTATTAGCCAATACAGGAAATCTAAAAATGAATGCATGGAGTGGAAATCAGGATGTGAACTCTTACTTCCAGAGGCACGTGTTTTTATCTCTGCCCTCCCCTTGAACGTTTTTCTCACTTTAAATGCTGTACCACCTTCACCTTGGTGAAAGCTCAAGCTCAGAGCCCCAGGCCCTCCTGTCCACCCTGCTCCTCGGCCAGGAGCAGCTGCTTGCAGCAAATCTCACAGCAGTGCCTGGGGGGTTCCCTGCGTGCCTGGTTCAGCACACAGGCCCACAGCTCAGCTCCAGCTGCCTTGGGAGGCTGCAGCATTTGCACTTACAGGGGAAACCACCCTTACGTGAAGCTAAGCTGCTCCAGTGCTCATCTGGCACTTACTGCTCTAAGCTCCATGTTGCCTCCCATGCGGAACTCGATGGTCTTGCCCGTGATGAAAACACCTTCGTTGCCACGGACAATGGCGCGTCCATCAACCTTTATGTTCAGATCGCTGGTGGCATTGCTGGTAATCTAAGAACATGAAAGACAAAACAGAGTATTGCAGATCACTAAAAAGTAGCACCTGGATTTGCTCAAATATCTTTCCATCACTTGAAAAATATTGTTAAATAATATAATTAAAAAAACAATATATTTTGCACCCTTCTCCCACTATGCCTGTAAAGCTGCCACCTATTTGTTACTTTGCTAACATATAGAAACAAGGATTACCCAAGTTTGGAATATATAAAATAGCTTGCCTATCATTCGATTGCAAGAAAAATGMCAACAACTTCCATGGAAGAATTATATAAGCTATATAACTGACCCTGGTATCAAAGACAGCTTCCTGATCAGACGGGATTCTGCTTGACCCTCTGTAAATCTGCTCCAACTACTAACATGATACAGTAGGACTATGGACTGCCAGCCCTCTGAAGGCCTTTGCTATGAGTGATGCTATGAAATAAATGACTTTCAGTCTTACCTTGACACTTTTAATGCAACCATACTGATGTTTAGGCTTTTGGGTCTTCTAATAAGAAGATGTTTAGCTTGGAAGCCTTAAGTTAATGGAACTTCTACAATGCTATTGCTGTTCCCTGCACTTCCAGTCAGATTTTTTAAAAATCTGTTTATAATACCATTTATCCAAAGCGATGCATGAAATTCTATTACTTAGTTTTGTAATTAGAAATTTAGTAATTAGAAGCAGAAAGCTTTTTGGAGATACTCTGTTTTTAAAAGTTATCTGCACAGATTCATAAACGCTTAATGAAAACTTTCTWAAAGGTTTTCTAATCCTAATAAAGGAGTTAGCATAGCATTCTAGATGTTATGCTCATTAATAATATCAGTATTAATTAATTTTGTACTTTTAAAGATGACTTAGATTTTCGAAGCTGCATTTTTAGCCATATTAATCAAATTTCTACACACGCTGGAAAGATCAGATTACAATAAAACTTATTATTCTATTATGAAGGAAATTCTGTAATTAACTTTTGCAAAAAGTAAGTGATGTTAAAAAATAAAAAAGTATACCCTCTCTGTAGAAGCCTTTTGTACATTCAAGATTTTAACTCCACTTGGCAGATGAAACTCGTGAGTTTCATAGTCTGTGCTGAACAGGGTGTTTTGTGTCCGTGGGTCAACAAACTCCATGCCAATGTCGCTGGTAATAGAGGTTTTGTCCTTCTCCACACTGAGCTTTGTCGTTCCTTGCTGAAAAACAATCTTCAGAAACAAAGTCTTAAGTTAATGGTGCTTCAAAGGTAACGTTTAGGCACAATGTGCGCATAACTCCATACTGTGGCTTGGAAACTTTCGCTTGAGGATATAACTTACAGGCTGGTTATTTCCAGTAATCACCAAGTCTTCGTTGCGTCTGCCTCCCACGGTGCTTTTATACAGCGGGTGTATAACGCCCATGTCAGAGACCTGCTTAAACCTCAGCAGGCCGCTCTCGTGGAACTCCATGCTGTCACAGCCATTGGGACCGATCCGAATCACGGCCCAGATAACAAGTGTAATCTGAAAGAGAAAYACATATTTCTTAAAGCTTGTTTTGATCGTGCAGGTCTTCCTGTACTGTATTAGTACAGTGCTATTACTGTACTAATAGATATTATATTTAAAATAATAATTAATGTTGGGTCCCCTGACACTGGATTAGTGATGTCTAAACTATCTCCACAAAATATCTAATCTTGTTCAGACTACAAAAAAAAGGCAAGAGGGAATAAAAACGAGAAGGCTCTAGTATATATTGTTTTGCAGCCACGCTGTTTATTAAAGASAGAAAATTTACTCCAATCAAAACGAGATGCATCCCAAAGCTGCTCGCGGCCTCGGCGTTATACTCACGATCAAGTTGACGACGGCCAGAATGAAAAGCAGGACGATGACACAAATGGCCAAGTTGCCCTTCCTGCCACGCAAGCCTGTCTTGTGGAGGCGATCCTCGTCGATGGGGATGTAGCCCGCCTTGAAGTTACTGTTGTGCTCCTTGTTCACGTTCCTGCGCTCCACGGCCTTCTCGCGCATCGACTTCTTCACGGGGCCGTTGGAGCTCTGCTGCAATCGGACACCGGGCAACACGGAAAAGAGGAAAAATCAGGCAGCAAACTCATTACTGGAGCATACAGAATATTCAATACTGTATTTAAGCATTTATCCAATGTGCATAAATGAAATCTGTGTGCAATCTGTGCCAAGACTACCGCTAATATCAGAAGCCAGATATTTGCAGGCCATATATACGTGTTTTTAGGACTCTATGGCATCTGATATGAACTGCTGCAGCTAAATAAAAAGGATTCAGCTGTGAAGAACATCACGTTTTGACCTCTTGGGGGTGATGCAATTGGGGTGATGCAGGCCACAATTTACCCCTGCACAAGATTCCAGCTCCCTCTACACTAGTGCAGGAGCCTCGGGAGTTAATGCACAAGTTTCAGGTGTGTGGTGGGAGAGGGGCAGGAGAGGAATGGGAGCTTTAGGGCGCTTTGATCGCCCCCGGTTTACACTCAGCCTCTATTACCTGCATGCAGCATTAAGGGGAAGCACGGTAAGGCCTCAAGCAGCCAGGGAGGGAAGTTCGCCAGCAGAGACCTACAAGTCTTGAAGTGACCAGACTGCCAAGTGTATCCTGTCAATTTGACCGATCAACACACAGAAAACTCCCACAGACATTCACAGCACGAGACATTCAGATGCACTTTCACAACTACGCACAAGCTGCATAGCTGCACCTTCCCCGACTGCAGGGGCTGCCATCCGRGGCTGCTGTTCACGCAAGGGGCCGATGCTTCCACACGTTAGGTTTGCTGCTCTGAAGGGGATCCCGGTACGCCCGTCCCGACGGCGGCAGCCAGCGCAGCCACGGGGACTCAGGGCGC